TAAAATACATTCAAACCATTAAATAATTAAATAATTTATAGATATAAAATGTGTAGATTTAAGGGAATAGCTATAAATATAAAATACTCAATTTAGTTGTAATTTTGGAACGGGCTGTATGAAATAGTTGCGCGGGTTATTAATTGCTAAGCACTGGTCTAAATGATTAATAATTGCCTATTACATTATTTTAATAAATAGAAAGTACTAAAGGTACCTTTACTAAAACGGCTTTGACGTGGAAAATTCTAATTTAATTTGTCTAAGTCCATCTGTGGCGTTCTTCGGTTTCGGACAATGAGTAACTGCGATCATAGAATATGTTAATATTCATTATTCACAATTGATTTGGGAGTGCGACACTAAAAACATTAATGATGAGTTTTTAGTAAGTTTTAATGATTTTACGAAAATATAAAATATCTCATTACTTTATAATAATCGCGTTTCGCATGGGTGTCAGGAACGTATATATTATGTTGCCAACTGAAGACATACGCAGGAGTCGAAACTAGATTACATTATATTAATATACGTAGGTACTGTAGGGTGTAGGCTACTACATAGGCTATAACAGTGATTAAATTTTTCAAGTCTAATTTCGTGATCCTCGTCACATTATTTTACGTTTTCACGCCTGTTGGTCGCAATTATATTGATCACCAGATTACCATCATAAAATTCATACCAGATTATTATCATCAGATTCTTAATTGCCCGAAATTTAATACATATATAAAAATTGTTTTTAAAACGTTGGTATCGAATCATTTTTGGAGATGCCTTTCACCCAGATTCTGTAACGATGATGACTCGGGTACTCGGAAATGGAATATACTTAGGGTTGCAAGTTGCAAAGCAATATTATTGTCAATATTATGTACCTAATAGGTATACAATAAATAAATATATGATATTTATGAATTACTGATAGATTTTTTTCAATAAATATAAGCGAATAGCGCTGTTGACCTATGTTAAGCATTTTTCACGTTCCATCCCGTTGAATTTTTGAAAAGTTACAGCGGTGAAAAACAGTTCTTCATCGCTCTTATAAAAATATACTTTTTGAGCTTCATATTAAAAATAATTTATTAATATTTAGAAAATATTCGATATAATCGCAAGTATATTAATTTATGTATATTGATAAACTAATTGTTGTTCTAATATCTAGTTATTTTTAGCGCATATCGTGGTTTTAATTTTTGAAAAGGCCCGTATCTGGTCGCTTGGAATCTAAATTGTAATTTTTATAACATAAATATTGTAATAACCACTAGCGTGTCATTAAAACAAGATAATATTCCACGGTATCTGGGTTAAAATTGTAAAAAAGAGACGCATTTTTGATTTCGAGATTTATATAAGCTAATATTTATTGTGAACAATTAATATGAAAAATTAGTTAAAAAAATATAACTAGTGGTATGGGCGAGACCGTTTTTGATCAAAAATGTACCCTTCCCTTTCGACCAAATTTAAAAAAAACGCCGATTCCTTTTTTGACCAAAATCGTACTCTTCCCTTTTCGGCCAAAACAACATTTTATGTAATGTATATAAAAATATAAAATAATTGATGTATAATTTATTTTTATAAAATTAGGGCAATTATATAATAATTATATAATTTTGAAAATTATTAAAAGTATAAGTTGCATAAAATGTTAAATAAAATGTGGAAAATTATAAAAATATGAGAATATCTATATACTAACATAATTTTTATGTTAATATGTCACAAACCTACTCATGTGGTTTAAATTTTATTTTTTTATATAATATTACATACTGTGACACATTAATATAAAAATAATGGATATTCTTATATCTTAAATATTTTTTACATTTTATACTTTTAATCATTTTCAAAATTATATAATTTCCTTAATTTTATAAAAATGATATACCGATTACTTTATTTTTTCACATATATTATATAAAATTTTGTTTTTGTCGAAAAGTGAATCGGCAGAAAAGGGAGGGGTACGTTTTTAGTCAAAAACGGCCATGCCCAATAGTATTACGTCATGGTACTGTACTTTATTCATGGAATTAGTCCTTACTCGCTTTTTTTGTCTGTTTTTTACATAGACACAATGTTAATTTTTATTTGATCTGTGAATAATATTTTTTAATCTAAAATTAATAAATTATTAATTTTACAGAAATTCTGTTACATTGTTTATGTTTATCGATTTCCTGTGTGTACTGATAGTCCAAGCTAATTTATTACTACGATAATATTTAATGATATTTCGTTGAAAAGTTGAAAAAATAAATATTTAAGCATTGTAATTGATCATCTTAAGTTCCTTCAAAGTTTTCGACCCCTTATTTAAGAAGCACTACAAAAACCGAATTATAACAAAAATTCGATTTTTTTTGTTTAAAAAACCGTTAAATATCAAAACTTAAATTGATCAAATTATTTAAAAATAGGTATGCCAAATTAAAATTAATTTTTTCTGTTGAATGAAAAATTATAATCTAAGTATATATTTAAAAAAAATAACTCGGTGTAGGGGTAAAAATTAAAAATCTAACTTGATATTTAACAACATTATCAACTTAATGCTTGACATGAATTCATGATATTGTTCATTCCATTTAACATGGTTTGAATCAATAATGACAAAAATATTAAAGTTTATGGAATAATCATTTTATTATGATAGACATACATTAAAATAGCATTACAAATAGGTACGAATATAATATTAATATAATATGTAGTTAATACAGTAATTATTAATTATTATATATCAATAAAGCTGAGTATTAGGTACAATTTACAAAAAAAAAAAAAAATGTTTATTGTAATAATATGAATATTTAAAATGTTTAATCTTAAATGTATGTTAATAATAATAATAATTAGGTAATAATAAATATGAGATATTACATATCAGAAAAAACCTTACTTATGGCATTACAAACTATCATGAATGTATTAAAAAAAAAAAAAAAAACAATTATATTTTCTAAAACTTTTAATTTATATGATTTAATATCTTTTATTTCTGTACTTATTAGAAAACTAAACTATTTTTTTTACGATTTAAAATATCTAATGTTTTAAAGTTAACATTTATTAAGGTTTATAATAATTTTATCTTTACTTCTTATTATTTTAATATAGTTTTCTAATTTAAAATGTTTAATAGTTGATATTATAGTAATAATAAATATAATAATTTGGGAACAGATGTTTTTCTAGTACATTAATAATTTGTATTAATATATTTTTCAACTCATCAAAAAGAATTAAGATCACTAAGTTACAACTATACAATAGATGGTACACCTTATTGTAATTAAAATTTTAATTTTAAATATGCTATTAACACATTTTTTTTTTAAATCTATTGAATATTTTTAAGATAAACTTATATCAAATCTGCTCCCTAATAATAATAATAATAATGATAATAATATACTAAAATCACACAAATAATTTAAGTTGGTATAAAATTGATTCATTACTATTATAATAATACATAAGTTATTATTTTCATCTATTTCTTACTATCCTATAAATTTAAAGTTTTTTTAAATTGTAGATATACAATTTTTTCAAACAAAAAGCAAATTTTGGCACTAGGTTTTATTTTAGTTTATAATTTTTTAGTATTTTATAGTAATTTTATTAAGTGTAAAGAAAAGTATAATTTTGTTGTAAAGATGAGATTAAAATTTTAAATTATTAGGGAAAAATAATTGTGTGAAAAGAGGATTTAATTATTAGATTTATTGTTAAAGTTATTTTGAATGGAGTAAGATAAAAAAAACTTGAGCAATATTTGGTAAAACAGAAAAAAATGATGATACATTAGTGAAACTGTATTATTTAACTTTTGAGGCTTTTAAAAGTATTTAAATAATTGATACAAATATTCTACAAATTATAGAAATAAGATTTTTTGTGTATGTTTCTTAACTATTTATTTAAATATTAGAAACCTACAAATGTTACTAAATCTGTCATAGTATAATAATATTATGATTACATATGTTTTTATGAAAAAAATACTCAACATAAACATCAAACTTAAATTATAAAATTAAAACAATGACACAAATCTGAAGTAAAATTAAAAAAAAAAAAAGGTTACTTAAAGTAAATATTAATTGATAATTATAAGTTTATAAAGAAAAACGTTTACAAAACTATAATATTGTATGCACCATTAAAATAAAATATTAACAAAATTAAAAAATAACTATTGTAAACGTTATTGAAATAACATTAATTTCTCAATAATAAATGTCTAATTAAACAGTTCAAAGAATACAAAAAGTACAACTTTGAAATCATCTCACGCTTAGTGGTTTGAATTTAGATAAAGTGGAAGAACATAAAGGAAGTTTAGAGCCACATAATTTTGAACAAGGCTCTAATAAATATTTGTCAATAATATGAAAACTAAATTTAAAAATAATACATTAAAAACACAGAAAAAGGGAAGAGAGAATTTATGTTCTTTTGAATCATAGAAATAATAATAATAATAATAGCATAATATTATACTTGAATATATTTTAAAAGCATACAACTTACCTAAATAAAATATAGCAAATTTATTACTGTAGTTTATAACCTAATATTTGTTTGAAACATCATAAATGGCGCATCAATACTTTTGTACTCGCATAAAAGGAACTCAAAAAATATTTTTAGCGGAATATTATTAATAGAATTATAAAATTCTTAATAATGTTATTTAATTTTTTTTTTTTTTTTGGTAAGTTAATGGACATAAAGCTAAAAATGTCTACTAAAATACATAAAATAAACCTAATATTCACAGATCCTTACATAAAATTTAATTTTAAAATAGGACATTATTTAAAAACATCTAAACCACTAAAGCGAAAAAAGACACAACACTTAGGATTCTTATTGTATAAAACACTCATAATTGAGACATTGTTCTCAGAGTCTAATATTGTTTTACTCACATTATGTGCATAAGTCAATCTGTTAAAAACATAATAAAGTTAAAAGTGCAGTACAAATATTTTTGGAAAAGGATTTTTATTTTTGGAGATAATTTTAAATATTAATATTTTGGTTGTAGACTGACTAGAGGTTACACTGCCACAGTATCGTAGGTTGTGAGCCCTCCATTTTGGAGGCGTTGTTGTCCTGCTGGGGCTTCGTTTCTAAAAAAAAAAGAAAATAAAAGATAAGAATATTTCACAAAACAACAAAAATTACGAGTTTTAGAATATCTAAATTTTTAAGATTATTAGTCATAATATTTTTGGTTTGTAAAAAATAATACTGTTTTAATAAAAATTAGAAGTAGATTGCTTATATTTAAATCAAAAACGTTTAAATTACTATTTGTATGAACTATGTTATACAAAATAAAATACCATATTATTGTTTTCTATGCATACTACTTCAAACTCATATCACACAATTCTACTTTTATAAAACACAATGCACAACAATATGGTATTCTAAACATTGATTATTTATTAGAATAATATATTTAAATAGCAAAAAAATATATATACTTACGGTTTCCTAAGTTATGAGTTTATGACCAATGCATAAAACACACACAAAATTAAATAACAAATTAATGTATGATAATTAAATCTATAAGACTAATATCTAATTAATCATCTTGCTTATGTTGTATATTAAATAATACTTATTTTAATAGTTCTAAAATGCATTTTTTAATTCAATTTTGTTGATTTTTTTGATTATGTTAGGTAATTTTAACAAGCCTGATAAATTATAAAATATGTAGCTTATGTTTATTGTTTAATGTAGTTAATGTATAACGACTAAAATTTTCTGAATATATAGGTCTACTTCACTGACCTTTCTATGAGTTTTCGGAGTTCTTCTGTGGTCATACCATCCTTGGTATTGCCCTTCAAATGCGCTGAAAATCAAAATTAATGGGCCACTTTCATTGGTATTCACATGTTAAGTTTAAACAATGGCTGTCGAAGCAATGTGAAATGTGTTGAAGCACCGTAAGCAGAATATGCTTTTGATAATGCAAACAAGTCCATGTTAGCCTATCACTATTTAGTCTTTATATGTGAATATAATATGTACATTTTTATTTTTAGCTTTAAAGCATAAATAGCTAAGATGATTAAGTTTTAATGCATATGAAAAATTAATTCATTAAAGCATATTATGTTATTTCAATTAAATATTATTCTCAACTTAAGCTGATGAATAATCTTTTTTTAAAAAAAACCTTAAGTATGTATTTGTTAATAATGTATTAGAATTGAATCAAATTGATTACTGTTTATATTTTACATAATAATAAACCTTACCTTTTAAGCCTTGTACATGCAAAACAAACTAAATTTTAAAACTAATATACTTCATGCATATTATGATAATATATATTTATTGGTGCATGAATATTTTATTAAATTTGAGTTATATTAGAAAGGTAATGGTAATACTTAGTAAACAATAAACATAAATATACTTAAAGAAATAATTTAATTGTTTAGGTAGGTATATAACTTGATAAATATTTGTTAGCAGTCTACATAGGGATAATAGATTAGGAACCAAATTATGTATTAAGTATCTTAGGCCATTTAACATAGGTAGTTAATTTATTAAAGTTTTAGGATTTTTGTGATTAAATAAAGTTTGAAAAACAAAATTTATTATAGTATTAGACCATTTTGAAATTATTAATAAATTATGTAGATAGTTTTTTTTTAGAATAATGTAAATTAATCACCATTAAGCCTATTGTAATAGTGAATTTGTTTACCTTTTATACCAAAATACCTCTTGCAGTGGGATGTGGCCGCAAACATTTGCCTAATTTTAATATTGTGTAAAAAGAAAAACAAATGCAATTAAGATTATCAATACCAACAACTAATGCAAAAAAAGTTTGTGGCAACTTTAAGTTGACTGTTATCTTAGTAAATATAATAATATATTTTACATAAATCCATATCAACTATAAAAATATTGTAGCAACTATTTTAAAAAGCGTTATTAATAATACAATTATTATGTGTTGAAATAGTTTTTGAACTTACCACCATAACTCTGAGTAGATGGTTGTTGATGTTGATCACATTCTGCTTCAGAAATTTGATTGCTGTCTTTGGAATCATTAGCTTCATTACTTGTATTGCTTACATTTGGATCATGATTACGAGGCGGAGGTGGAGGTGGTTCTGGGCTTCCTATAATTTAATATTTTATTATATTGAATTATATTCAAAAAAGTAAAAACTTTTATTAGTTTAAAAATTAGATAAATGTTCTTAAGTTATGCATTTATAAACTAATTGTGCACATAAAATAAAGTCTTATAATAAGATTTTTCTCAACGTTATGAACAGAAATAAGATGTAATATAGTAATATTATTTAATATTTAGTTTATATATGTATGTGTTACATACAAAGTCCAGAATCGTACATTTCGCAATTTGTACACATTTTGAAGTGTACAAATTGCGAAATGTATAACTGTTGTACAAATCACAAAATTTAAAAACTTATTCTAAAAATTACAGTATAATAACTGTTATGTTTTAAAAGTATTTTCTTAATAAATATTACATATTATTACTTATTTTTGTGATTTGTTCAATGGTTGTAGACTGTAGTATATTAATATGTAAAGACCTGGTATGTCTATTTTTATATGGTATACTAATAAGTAATAATATGTGATATTAAAAAAATACTTTTAAAACATAACATTTATTATATTGTAATTTTTAGAATATGTTTTTAAATTTTGTGATTTATACAACAATTGTACACTTTGGAATTTGTACAGTGATTATTGTACACATCGCGAATTATATAACGAAACTTGTACAATTTAGTTACTTTGTATAGCAACATTGTACACTTCGCAATGTGTACAAAAATCACTGTACAAATTGCGAAATGTACAATTCCAGACTTTGTATGTAATATATGTACATGAAAAAATTGAAGAACAGTGTAACATTAATATAATGTTTAGGAATATAATAGTTAGTATATAATTATTACCAATACTGCGTCCAGCCATTGAAGCACGACTTTCATATTGTTCATAAGGAGCACCATATTGTCCATACTGACTGCCATATTCATCTCCCATATTGGCAGGATCATCGTACTCAGGTGAAAACATGGAATTAGCTCCACCTACACGAGAATAACGTCCATTTCGAGGCTAAAACCAAAAATGTATATATTAATTACCTATAAAACAATTATATTTTTCATTCTTAACTCAATATTTTTAAATTAGTACATAAAATATAATATAATCAAAACACAAATTAAGTATTATTTTATATATTAAATATTGTATTAATTTACCATAGTCTGGGTTCCTGGGCATTGATGCATGAGACCATTACTAGCTATAGTTCCACCAGGTCCAATTGTACCACAATGTCCATTAGGATGTGGGAATGTTTGGAATGGCATTTTTGAAGGATCCATTTCTTCACGAAAACCAAGTAAGTGGAATGTAGCATACGGACAGATATCTTCACCATCTATTCCTAAAATTGTTCAAAGTTTATAACTATATCAAAACATATTTTTCATTCAAATATAATTGTAAAATAAGAAAAACCCAAAGCAACTCGCGACAGCGAAAGAAGGTACATAATAGTATGATATGTATGTTAATACACAACATATATTATGATGATATAAATATTTAAATATTATAATAAAAATCCTCAATTATCATACTCAGAGATATAATATTTAACTATTAGTAAATTGTTAGCATTTAAAAAATAGTAATTTATTATGTAACTATCGAATGATGATAGAAACATTACTATACAAAATTATAAAATTTTTATTTTAAAACTAATATGTCAACTGCAACAGATACTGCTTAAACCAATTGTAATTAATTATTAATATAATATAGATTAATACCAGCTTCATTTTTAAATACAGCTTTCGATAATATATTTGTAGCTTAAAGCTTTCACACTGTTCTAAATTGGTTTGTTAATGGTTAATGAAACTCTCACACTGCTGATATTAAATAATAAAGCTGCCGTGCAATAGTTGACGTTCTTTTGTCATCTGTTTTACCTCTACACCTTGTGTACATTGTCTCGTCGGACCCTGGACATGGGGGCAAATGCCCCCTACACCTAGGGTTACTACCATTTAGTTCTTCATACATATGGCGTGCTCTAGGGTTCCATGTACCGTGACCGTGGTAAGGGCCGGGAAAACCTGATTGATAAACGTGACGAGAACAAAAATAAAATAGTTAAACGCAAAATAAAAATAAAATCGAGCGGACTCAAATCATAAAAAAAAGCAAAATAATAAAAAACAAACATGGAAAATAAAATGTATTAGATAACTGAAAAAATGTACCTCTTTTAATCCTGTCACATGTGTTGTAATTGGAACCAGGAACAGGTGGAAGTTTACGATTGGGAGGTGCTATGTAACCAAGCTCATCATTGAAATCTGCATGTCTCTTGTCAAGTGTATTGCCTCCCATAATCATTGATTGATTATAAACAGTCATATCATCTAATGATAATATTACATTTTAATATATTTATACACAATAACAAATAATGTGTAAAATTTTAAAACTATGCGAGTTTGTAGATCTTTAAAGTAGAAAATTTTATTTAACGACCGAGAATTGTATACTAATATTCAAATTTTCCGGATAAATTAATTGATACTATTTATTTACAGTAAATAAACACAGAGCCGTAGATAGAGCTTGGCGAGGCTGGCCCAGGCCAGGAGCAGGAGTGTAGCAAAAACAAGGAGAGCAAAAGCCAAAATAAAATATGCTTATGTTGTTATTAGCATACAAATATTACAAAATGCTTACAACATAAAAATATGACATTATAATATTACGCTGAATGATAGAAATAATTTTGAAAATTGATTTGCATTATTATTATTAAATAATAGATATATGTTAAAATTAAAAATAGGATTCAAAATTCAACTCCCTCTCAATACATATATATTTGGTATGGTACTTTGGTATTGGTACCTATTCATATTATTTCAATATTTAAACATTTATATTTTATAAGTTCATGAAAGGAAGTTCTAAAAGAAATTGTAGGGTGAGGTGTTTGTTATTGTCACTACATAGAAATAGTTAATTTACTTATACTAGTATAAGTTTTAATTTAGGTATTAAAACCATAATTATGTATGAGAATGAAAATATCTGTAGGTATTTAAGAAGTTGCTATTGCTATTTATTGTTTTTTACCATCAAGTTTAAATTAATATGTAAAAAAATTAGTTTGTTGACACATTTAAAAACAATAGTTAAAAAAAAAAATTGATTTAATATTTAAACACCCATGTATTATTTAAAATCAAGTAAGAAGTTTGTATGTATGTGGTGGGGGGGGGAGAGATTTAAAATGTAGAAGGTGCAAATATATTAAATGACTAGAAACATTGATGGGCCTTGCTACGGCTCTGCATATACTATATTAAATATACCTACCAGGAGTATAAAGCTTGTAACATAATCTTAAAAATGTAAAACATCTTTTTAAATATAATTTAAAATTTAAATATTATGTGTATTTTTATTGTTTATTATTATTTTTTTATAACTAGATCGTATCTAAGATATCATTATGAAATTATATTGATCAGTTAGATTTACATTCTTTTTGGTTGTTACTCATATTATACTTTTTGATGTAGTTGTATCAGGCCTTCATGCTAACTACTCCTGGTGTATAATATATTTATTAAATGTTATATATTAATATTATATTATATAGGTAAATAAAAAATGCATTGATAATTTGATTTGGAGTTTATGTATAGTTAATATTATATACCTCTCAATCTAGTTTGTCCATTTTCATGAACTCTACGAGACCAAGCAAAACAAACCACAATTATACCAACAATAATGACTATAATTGTTGCAGCAGTCGGCACCACTACATTTAAGTCAATCCATTTTGGTATCCATGGTAAATATGTATAAATGGATGTGACGTCTTGTGCAGGGGGAGCAATAGTACCTTAAAAAAAAAAAAACAACTAACCTTTGATATCCACTCCTCTTTTCTTTAAGTAACACAAGAAGATTATGGCCACAATAATAACTAATAATGCTGAAGTGACGGGTATAACCAGATTCAAATTTGCCAGTATGATACGTATAGCAGTATCAGTAGCTGAACCAAAACCGTTGTGATGAACCTCACGGGCTGGGGCAATAGTACCTGGAACAAGGAAATAGGAATGCATTTATATATATTTTCTAGTCGGAAAAATTGTTCCAAGTACTACTAAAGCACCACCTAGTGAGCAAACGGTTTTGGAAGAAAGGATAGATTAAAAAAAAATAAAAAATACATACCTCCACTTAAAGTTAGTGATGCAAATTCATATTCAGCAACAGAAAATCCAGCATTATTATGAGCAGTTACTCTTAAATGATACCATGAGGCTGGATCTAAATCAAGCACAACAAAGTTTCCTCCTGGTCTTACATTATTTGAAACTTGAGTCCATTCAGATTGCAATCTTAAAAAGAACACAATTATAATATATATATATATATATAATATAATATGATAAATTATATCTATATATTATGTAGATTTAATTTAATTTTTAACTATAAAAATGAATTATTTAAAAAAAACTTTTATCAATGTTACTTTTTTTTATGTTCCACTACAAAGTATAGCATAGGACAACCACCATCCAACCAAGCATTTAAATGTAATGTTACACTTGTAGCCGATACTTCAATAAATTTACTTGCTTCTGGAATTTTAGGTTTTGAGCCAGTGGTTTTTGTATTCAATAAATCTGATTCATCACCTGTGCCAATCCTAAAATATACATTTTGAGTAATTCAATTTTGTTAAGAGTTTGTAGTTATAAATGTATTCTCACAAGTTGTATGCAGTAACAGCTATTTGATACCGTGAACCACACCATAAATTTTCTAATGTAAATTTATCAGCCTTTGCGGCTACTTGAGCTGTTTGCCAATCACCAAATTCAGGTTTATATTTTATTGTATATCCGTGAATAGGTTCTTTATCAGCAGCATGAGGTTTTAAATTTAATGTTATTGTGTTGGATGTTGTTGCTCCAACAGAAACTTCTGGTTTATGAGGTGGTGCTGTAAAATATATTTAATATAAATGCTCATACTTACATCATGTACTTTATAAAATACCTAAGACAACAATGCGATGTGTGATTTTATCTTTTCCGAATGAATTTTCCACAAAGCAGGAGTATTCTCCAGCATCAGTTCTAGTGACAGATCTAATTAATAGAGAGCCTTCAGGTAACTGACGAATACGATCATTGCTTTCAAGGGGTGCACCTTTAACTTTCCATGAAATTTCTGGGGCAGGTACACCAACAGTTAAACATGGAAGTTTTACATCCTCACGGTATGTTGCAACAAATGAATCATCAAAAGACGCGATCATAGCAGGAACTTAAAATAAATACAAATATTATTCAACTATCTATTGTATTAACTATAAAATAATTGGTAAATACCTCGAGTACTAGGAGCAATAACAATTGATTTGGTAGGTTGTCCTTCACCAATATTAGTCGATGCTGTGACCCAAAATTCATAAGGATCTTGCTTAATAAGGCCAGATGCTTCAAAACTCATTTGATTTGGAGCAACTTTATGAGCTAATGGTTCTTTCTACAATAAAAATAACAAAATTATCTAATTCTACAATAATACCTAATTCTTTTGATATTACTGCTTTAATTTACATTAAAAGTTTTTACTAAAATAGATGAATAAAAACATTTTAAATATTATTTATACATACATCTTTATTATCACCACTAGGTTTAATGTAAACAGTGTACTGATTGATATCTCCATTAGGCTCAGCAGGAGGTTTCCAACTAACTAAAACTGATTCTGTAGACATAACCAAAGCTTTGAGAGCAGCCGGGGCTTCTGGGACTGTAATTAATACACAAAAATATGCTAAGTATTGTTCTTATATATTTGATTGTATAAATATTTACCATCTTGCTCAGTTTGACAATATATTCTAGGAGCACGAACACCATCTCCACCTGCAGTAAACGCTAATACTTCCATACTGTAATTTGTAAACTTCTTAAGACCATGTAAAATAGTTTCACTTGATACTGTAATTTTTGTGTCTTTTGTACTTTCATCTAAATGTATAAAAAAAAAAATATAAATAAATAATTTGATCATAAGAAAAAAAAATATACTTACTAAACCAAGAATCGCTAGGTCCATAAATTACTTTGTAACCTTTAATAACTCCATTAGCTGTACTTAGTGGTGGCGATACCCAAGAAATTCTTATAGTTTGAGAAGTCAAAGTTGTACAAGTTGTATCATGTGGTGGTTGTTCTGGTACACCTTCAGAAGTGTATTGTTTAATTTCATCTGACATTGGCCCAGCACCTAATTTGTTAAAAGCTTGCACTACTATTGTATATTGAGTATATGTTCTAAATAACAGAATAATAAAAGTAATATTAGAATTAAATATTAAATACAAGTCTTAAATAGGTACAAAAATAGAAAAATGTCATATATGAAATATGTGGGCACATTATTTATATACACCAATTGTATAAATTTGATATTATACTAATTAAAAATTTTATCTACCTACTATAAACAAATATAAACATAGCTGATAACCTACTTGAGATTGAATATTTCTAAATAATGTTCTTTTCCTTCTTCTTTACTAAATTCAACAGTTTCAAACACAAATTTGTTTTCAACTAATGATGATTGTTTATATCCAACATAATATCCTTGAATTTCACCATTCCAATCACTACGTTCTGGCGCTTTCCACATTACTTTTAGAGTATTTTCATCAATGGGATCAACATGAATGTTAGTTGGCTTTCCACTAGGTGCTGCATAACAATTAAGTAATTTATTAATAATCATAATTCATAACAAATGATTTAAAAATAATTTACCTTCTTCAGACGTAATTATAGTAACTGGATCAGAAGGTTTAGAAACACCTACTCCATTTTCTGCAACTATTCTAAAATGATATGTGGTAGCTGGATGAAGACTTACTACACTCATTTCAGTTTTATCTCCTGTGGCTTCAACTTTTTCGACGTCTGTTTCCCAAGTGTCTGTTGATTAAATCATTGTATTAATATAAAGAATAATTTTATTTATTAGACATTTATTAAATATATAATTACTTTTCAATAATTTATATTCAACAATATAACGAGTGATCGGTGAATTTCCATCATACGGAGCTAACCAAGACAATTGAACAGTTCGGCCAGATTTATCCAATACTTTTAATCCAAAAGGAATCTCGGGAACCTCTATAATATTAAATAAAAACAATATTTTTACATGTGCGTCAAATACAAAACACATAGTAATAATTTATAAATAATATATAATATTAACTATTAACCTTGAACAATAAGTTGAACACTTGAATCATCACTTCCAAATGAATTAGTAGCAACACACGTAAAAACAGCAGTATCAATTCGTTCAGATCTCTTAATGCTCAAATCTGATTTCACTCCATCTGTTAATATTTCTTCACGTATTGTATATCTAAATAAAAAACGAAAATTTTTTCCATGCATTAATTTTAAAGAATTGATATAGTAGGTAATTGGCTAAAAAAAATAATTTAATTTAAACATTCTTTGTACACATTTATTATTATTATAATTGTTTATAGAACACAAATAGTAATTTTAAATGTTTTAACGAATATGGTATGAAAGTATGTAAATAGTTCATACAATAGACTAGAATACATAGGTATAATACAATATGGTACATAAGTTATTGTATAGAAAAACAAAATGAAAAAATTACATAGGATAGCTAACAGAAAAAGGCATGAGTAAAGTGGTTAAGTAATCAAATTTTAATCTACTTTATAATGGCATGAGACAAGAGTAAAGATATTCAGAACCTGTCTTATACCAGAGTAATTTTGAAGTTTACGATTAACATATTATTAATTTATATTCTTTCAAAATTTAGATGAAATACAATACCTTTCTTCTTCCTTAGCATCTAGTCGTTTATTATTCATATTCCAGACAATGCCAATAGGTTTTTCTCCTTTTGCCATACATTCCAAAACAGCAGGTTGACCCTTTTCAGAAGTTTGATTTCTTGATTTTATCTCGAAATGTGGAGGAGCTTAAATTCAAGTTCAAAAATAAGTAAAAAATACAACTGTTACAGTTATTTTTACTATTCACCTTGTACACTGATAGTGATTACTGCAGACAGTCCAGAACCAATTCCGTTAACAGCTTCACACAAATAGTGACCTTCGTGATTCTTTTGAATGTTATGGATAGATAATGTTCCTTCGTCAACTTTAATGTCATCACTGCCTGGTTTCAAATCTTTAATATCCTTATAATCTCCAGGAGAATTACCTAAAATACACAAATAAAATAAAATAATTATTTAGAAACTTATAACATCAAATAGATATTTTATTGAATAATAATTACCAATAGCTTTTTTCCATGTCACTTGGGGCTTAGGGAATCCATCTGCTTTACATTCAATTTTTGCGTCACCTCCTTGCGCAAAAGCTTTGTCGGTAGGTTCAAGTATCCATCTAGGAGGAACTAAATAAGAAAAAAACATAACTATGTAGATAAAGAATTTGGACTTAAAGTAGTAGAGTAGCAAGAGTCTATTCAAAACTTATTTGATATTTATAAACATACAATATTAGAGATATAAAAAAATATTTATCTATATAGTGTACGCGTTTAAAATTTATCAATGAATAATTTAAGTGTACAAAACAGTTATAATCTGAAATGTATAACTATGATCATAAAAAAAAAAAATTGAAATTCAGAACTCTTGCTACTTGATGTTAATAGGTTTTAAAATAAAGTTTTTCTGGTGATAAAATTCAAATATTAAATATTATAAAAAAACTACATATATCATTATATAAGATATAAAAGTATATGTTTTAAACGACTTTGAATTCATTATCACATAGAAAAACTTAATTTTTTGTGCGTAAAAGCGTGCTAGGAAAAAAACGCAGTAGCAAAACAATAGGTACTAAGTATATTAATAAGCAAAAAAAAAAAAATAATAATAATAACAATCACAAATGTGTAGACAGATTACATAATGTTAACGTTAGTGAAGTAAAATTTACGAGCAAGGAAAAAATTTTATAATATATTTTAATAAAGTAAAAATATTTTGAACAATTCTGAATGTCGAAAAGTCTCAAAGGTTCAATTGAAAAACGCTAAAAAAGCAATATATTAAAAATTTAAAAATATAAAAAATGAGAAGTTTAGATAATTTGATAGATAAAAATTGAATAAACTGTAATTTGATCTTCAAATTATGCAATAACTGATGTGACAAAAAAACGTAGTTGTGGAGTAATAACTGTATACATTTAAAAAAATGTCTACTCATTAAAAATTGTTGTGGAAAAAATGATAAAATCATTAGTATATAACGTTAATACGACTGTCTATTATATTTAATAATGCAGTATATAAACATTAAACATAATATAACATAAGTAACATTATAATATTATACGTATACTTACTAACAAAACCGTATAATAATAAAATTACATTATAAGTATTAATTGCATGCATTTATCATTATAATTAATTCAAGCGACTACACTAAAAGCAATAGAAAGGACAGTATAGAACGGATAATGATGGTTGGATTCAATTTAGGAGAAGTATTCTTTTGAATTCTTAATGCGCGATTATTAAAACATAATATGGGCGAGATAATTCCTGTAACTTTTGACAGGTCATAGATGATCATTGTATTTTTTTTTTTTAAGTATTTGCGTATTTAGTTTATCGATACCACTCTACCACTCGAAACTCCGCAGTAAGTCGACGGTCCAGGATGAAAAAAGTTCGAAACTTGTACACATACACCCTATGGAAATAATTATCATATAATAATTATGTTTGAGGTCTGTAGTCTTTCATCACACGAGTATAGATTTGATGAAGACTGGTTCACGGAAAACGAAATATACTTGTAAAAATTATGCATCGAACGATCGCTATTTATACCGTTAAAAGTCAAAAGTAAAAAAAAAAAATCCACGAAATAAAAACACGACGAATTACTTGCGAGAAGTATCCAATTACAATATCGTGTTATAGGCAGGCGCATATTATTGTTTTACCCATTACTTTCAGAGTAGCTGTACGCGAAGCGGAACCAGCTTCATTTTGTGCGATGCAGGTATAGTTTCCGGCGTCTTCCGGCGACGCTCTGGTCAACGAAAGCAACGAAGTCAGTTCATCCAACCGTTGCACTTTGAGATGGTCTCCGTTAGCCGCGTCCGTCAACAGACGGTCGTCGACGGTCCACAAGAAGTGCATCGGCGTGTCTCCAGACGACACGGAACACAAGATTTTCATCGATCCCCCTTCATTTAACTTACTATCGGTAATCGAGAACGGTTCGACTTCCGGCTTGACTGTAACACACACGCGCCCGCGCACGAAAAAAACCATCGTCAGAGGACTTCAGTTAAAAATAAAAATGATATTGTAACGATATAACTCTGTCATACGACACGACACTATAAAAAAATAAATAAATAAATAGAAGAAACCAAATGATTATTTGAAAACGTCAAACGCGTCATCATTTATCGTAATGGAATGAAACCAAAACTCTTTCGCCGTCCTTGAATCGAATAAAATATAATAATCTACAAATCCTTTATACTAATGCGTAGTTGTAAATGCAGATGGGTAAGAGGAACTACGATAAATCGGTACCTATACATGGAGTTATGTTAAGATAAAATCACTTTAAGAATTTTATTTAATTTTTATTTTATTATTGTGATCTTAACAAAAGATTTAATTTTACCTCGGTCATTAAAGAATATGTTTAAAAAAATGAATTAACAACTAGAAAATAGTGTATTAAATGTGTATATACATTAATAAGTTTTTTGATAATTGCGAAAAATACTAGGAAAATATAGAGATGATTTTGTCGATATTCGAGGGGGAAAATATTAAAACATTTAAAAATTGAACCAAATAATTTATTGTTGATTTAATAAATAATATATTGTTTTCAATAAAATTGGACATTTAAACTATACATTGTGATCAACAATTTTTTTGACTTATAAATTTTTTATTGCAAAAAAAAGCGGGTCGAAATAAGTGAAGGCATAGGCGGAAATACTTAGTGGCCAACTCATCATGTCATAGTAAAGATTGGGGGAAGGAGAGCAGAACTTAAAAAGCAAGAACGCGGTAATGGCGGTTTTTCGAAACGTTGGAAAAAAATGTAAAACGATAAAAGTCATACCGAAAACAACGTCTACAATAAAGCACAACAGGCGCATATGTTCAAATAAAACGGGGTTCTGCCGTCGAGGAAAAACGTTTGTCCGAAGATCAAAGTGGTGTGTACTTTATATGATAAAACAATAGGTAGGGTGGCAACCGGTTTAACCGCAGCAAGGGTTGGTAGTGTAACCGCTGTGCAGTTTTACCATGGACGTTTAACGCGGCGGTGTGGTCAGCGCGACCAGCACGGTTGGTGGCGACGCACGTATAGTTGCCGGCGTGACGGGACGACGAGGCGGCGTCGATGAAAAGCATAGACACCTTGCTTCCCATTTTGTTAACGGATACGCCGCCTCGGAGTGATGAGACGATCGGCTCGGCATGGCCGCTGAACGTCCAGAATAAGTCTAACGGAAGATCGCCCTCCGAAACGAAGCACGTTACCTGCGTCGACTGTCCGTCGTACACAGGATCGCCGAAGCTGAACGGCTCTATTCGGGGGGCAACTGAAAAACAAGCGGTTAACTGTCTACAGTAAAGTATAGCTGGTACACTTGCACAGGTGGTTTCCGTGGTTTCTGATTGCCGTGACACAATGATTAACTACTATACAGAGTTAAAAGTAGTCATGGCTGACGAATTTTGAAAAAATAAAATAATTTACTGTCCAAAATAAAATTGTATTTTGACAAAAAGAAATCGATGCTCACGCACGCGTTGAGGATGGGAAGAAAAATGACATTTTTGACTATACATAAATATACACCGCGAGCGCGGATCGTGCGTCGTAAATAAAGAGCGGTATGCGCGCGCGCGGAAAAGAGTACAGAGCTGCAGGACGCAATAACACAACATTATATTATATAATAGGGACGGGCAACTCGAAATTTACCAAAGAGCAGGTTTCAAAAACTTCCAAGTCCGAGGGCTGGGTATGTATTAGAATAACAATTTTTTATTTTTATTCTTTTGCTTATATTCTTATAAAAACTCTAAAAATATACTATTTATTTATTAAACATCGAAAATAATTTTTTTGAATATAAATAAAAATAAATGCCATCCAAGGACTATTTCTTTAACTTAATTTTATTCTATGTTACGTTACGATAAAATTAAAAAAAAAAAAAAAATCAATTACTTGAATTTGATTATTATTTTCAATTTATAATAATTAATTAAATAATATATATTTGTAAAAATGTTTGTATGGAAATCAACTAAAGAAAATGTCATTCAAACCACCTTTTTTATGTATATACTTTGGTGAATTCAATGTGAATTTTAAGTTGCCCATCCTTGTTATACGGTATACAACATCAAGGGAAATATAACAGCTCTTATACGCATTCCAATAACAAAAAGCGTTCATTCAATGGAGTTGTTTAGATGTACTAGGTATAAGGTCATTATAATCGTTTTACCGTGGACGTTCAACGCGGATGTATGTTTAGAACTCCCGGCTCGATTCTCGACGATGCACGCGTAATTCCCGGCGAAATATGAAGATGTGGACTCGATGAATAGCATAGACAATTTACTACCCATTTTATTGACCGATATGCCACCGGGTAACGGTTTAAGTTCAGACTCGTCGGATTTGCGAAACCACCAAGATATATTCAAAGGAGCGTCACCCTCGGACACCAAACATGTGATTTGCGCCGACTGGCCGGAATAAATAGGCTCATCAAACGCGAACGGAACGATACGAGGAGGTACTAAAAACAAAAAAAAATGTTGTAGTAGTAAAAACAGAGACGAAAAATGGTTATAGTTTGTTCGTTAATCTCGAAAAAATCGGTTGATAACCTATACTTGATGGAAATAAATATAATATATAATATGTATATTGATATAAAACTTGGATTTATGCATAACATAAAAATGCTCAACCGTTCATACAGTAAAATAAGCATAGGTACCTAACTATTATAAAGCACCGATATTTTTTCAAAATACCACTTTGTAGAGAAAATAACGATGGCACTTAATAAAAAGGGTAAATAACAATCAAATCATCGTTAAACAAAATATTTTCTGATTTTACAAAACAGGAATAATAGGGAAAACAGGATCGAGCTTTCCAATAAATTCGATTTAAAGCGGAAAATTTAAAATATTTCATAAAAAAAAATGTTATAAGTCCAAACTCTAATCACAACGGTAGTATAATATTATACTTTCGTTCGGCGAAATATCGACGAAATGCAACAACGCAACACAAAAAAAAAAGTACAGTAAAAATTCGACTGCTGCCTTGAACCACGGGTAGGTGATAAGGGTCAAGTGCGGTATTAAAATATACAGCTTTGATATAATATATATTTATATTTATCACAGGTATTTTAAAATATATAGTTGCAACTTGCAGCTGATAAGTACGCGTCACATGCTGAAAAACGTAGCGACCCGCATACAATTCAAACCAATCATAAGTAAGTTTAAGGTACCGTGTACGTTTAATCCGGCCGTATAGGACGTCCGGCCTGCGCGATTCGTGACCTGACACGTGTAATTTCCCCGGTGAACGGAGTCAGTATTGTCAATCGACAACAGACTGGTTTTCGTGCCAATGTTCACTACAGATACGCCCAAACCGAACACGTCCCGAGGCCCGTCAAATGTCCACGACAACTCCAGTGGAGAGTCTCCCTCTGAAACCGAACAAGCCACTTGGGCGGACTGTCCTGCGAATACTGGTGTGTCTCCGAACGTAAACGGTTTTATTTTCGGAAAAACTGTAGGTGAACAGACCAACAAATATAAATAATAACGCATGGCACCGGATAGGAACAGAAAAAAAAGAGAAATGGACCGCCGCAAGTCCAACGGTACGCTTTAAACAACATAATGCATATGGGTATGCATGTGGTATATGCGTAACAATGTTATAGTGTATAGGTAATGCATGCGTTGTATCGATTCACTTGCCACTCAATATTTTTCGACTCAACGTAACCCGAGATGAGTAAATCTACATCCAATTGGTAATTTTGTAGAACCACGTAGATTCTAATAACCATTTTAATTATACACGATCCTTCAAGTTTAAATTTTGTACACAAAATTTTGCATGGGCTTAAATTCAACGCAGTGTCAATTGAAAACATTTATAAACAAAACATTTATTACTCGTATTGTCACTTTACATACATTGTTCTGTGCAATAGACGACTGCTGTTTTGAAAACAACATTTTTGATTACTAGTTCTCATTATAATTTATTTTAAAATAACGAGAGCAAACAAATGTAAGGAAATGTTGTAAAATAAAACATACAGAATTGTTTATGTATGTTTATTAACAGTTATTAAATTTTTTGCAAATGTATAAACTCATTCTGTTTTGGTCAAACCACTAGTCCAGTGGTTCCCTACCTGGGGACGTATACACATCGCTGGGGAGGCGCAAGCAGTCATCACAAAGAAAAATTTTTATTTATCAAATTTTATTATATTTAAAATTCCACTATAATACTATATTATTTACAATTATTTATATTTTATAATTACTATCATCAATAAAAAAGTAGTCTTTCCGAATATTATATAGTTTATTTGTAAAATGTAAAGTAAACAAAAAAATTATAACTTTTTTAATTTATAGGTGGGTGGGGAGCGCGAGATTTTTGAAAATCTACAAAGGAGGCGTAGAATAAATAAGGTTAGGAACCACTGCACTAGTCGGTTAGGTAAAGGTTGTTAAGGTTATGTTAATGGAAGTAGTAAAACATGTTTACCGTTTTTTCAATTATACGAGCACTTTGAATTTCGATGGAACAATTTTTGAAGAACAATGGAAAACTACTGACAAAAAAAAAAAAAAAATGTGATTTTTCATTAAAAATCAATATAACCCGCAGTAGTTAAATATGTCGTTTTACATACGATATATAAAATTATCTACAACGATTTCTGTCATATGGTGCGCATGCTAGATATGTACCTATTTATAATATATATTTTTGACGATTTTGCAGCCCGAATTTTTATCAGAGGGTAGTTACCGTTCACGTATAACGACGCGGTGTGTCCCGTCTCGCCGGCCATATTTTTGGCAAGACACGAATAGTTGCCGACGTTCTTCTCCGTCAACGATTCCACGGTTAACGAACTAACTCGGCGTCCGATTTTTGAAACAAAAACGTTCGCCAAGTCACTGGTCGATTTACCGTTGAATGTCCATGCGAACTCGATGGGAATGTCCCCAGAAGACACGGTGCATTGGATCGAAATCGTTTCACCGGCCTCGGGAATATCGTCACCGAATGTAAAAGGAGTCATCTTGGGTGGGACTTCGAAATAAAATTATTCATGTGTCAAATCACAAAACATTTATTTTATAATTTATAATAAGTTTGAATAATATTAAACAATTATGAAAGTAGATGGCATTTAATAAAAATAGTTTTTCGAAATTATAAACGTTTTCGCAGTCGTTCATAAACTTTGAAATTCTAATCTTAAATTACTGATATACATTATGGTTATACATTTAACATCCCTGTGTTATAACCTATTTTTATTGATCAAAATAAATGGAACGATTTAAAGGAATAATTTAAATTAAATGGTTATGGGCAAAACTATAAACAATACGTACTAATTACCAGTTATGAATATAAGTTAGATGACAAATTAACTATCAGACGTTAAGTATTAAGGGCAACATCATTACACAGCAACACTATAAATCACAAGCAAAACTTTAGTTAAAATTAAAATAAGTACCATCAACGTTTATATACGTTGAATAGTTATAAGATCCAATTCGATTAGAAGCTATACAGGTATATTTTCCCGTGTGTGCAGCAGACACAGTACCGATAGTAAGTACACTAGAACTTGAACCGAGCTTGGTTGTTGTCACACTCAGTTCTGATGAGAGTTCGTCGTCGTTGAATAACCAGTTGAGTTCTAAAGGTTTATCTCCCTTTGAAACGTGACAATTTAACTGTATACTATCGCCAGACCTTATTTTCTCGTCAACCGAAAACGGGACAATATGTGGTAGGACTACAATACCACAAAATACAAATTTATAAATGTTAGAAAACAATTATGAAAAATGAAACGACTGAATTAAATAATAAAGTTAACCAAATGTAAAATTTTCACCAATAAGAATACATATATTATGATTTTATGAAAATAAAAATCCAAAAACCGAGTATTACAGCGGGCGCAACGTATTTTTCGATTTTGCACAACCAGTAGATACAGAATATCGGAATAAAAATATATTATATGAATTAGTAGAATACCTTTTTAGCAAAAGCTGTCATTATACGTGTTTTATTACGATAATGTTGACAATATTGTTGAACGTATAAAACGATAAACTTTTATCATAACGAGGACTAGATCGCGGGTATTTATTAAATGGGATAAATTACAGGAAAAAGCTCACCACCTATTGTAAGCGTTGTGCTGAGAACAATAAAATATTATTGTACATAATGTCATATTATTGTATATAATGACATGCGATGAATACAAAATTAATTCGTAATTATACCGTTAACCATCAGTTGAGATGTAAACGAGTCGAGCCCAACCGAGTTTTTAGCAACACAAGTGTAATTTCCCCGATTTGAGCCACTGACTGAAGGGATCGATAAAAAATTTGTAGTGTCACCAAACATTTGTGTAGTGACACCCATGTGAGAAGACAGTTCTTCACCGTAAAAATTCCAAGTTATCGACATGGGTTTATCGCCTTTAGCCACCGAACAAGACAGTTGAACAGACTCGCCAGCATTGATGGGTCCATCTCCAAAGGAAAATGGCAATATTTTGGGTAATACTAAAAATAATTATCAACAGCGTCTAAACACTCATTTGTATATAAATATAAGTTGGGTAGTAGTGATAAGGGAAATAATTTAAACTTAAAAATTAATATTTAATAATTTTTATTTATATAACCTGATAGTACCTATACCGATATTGATGTATAAACTAATATATCTAATAGGATAGTCGAAACGGTTTAAATGATTAGAATAAGTACCTTTAATTAATGTTATTATAATAGGAATATTAAGTTGCAGTGCTGTTGTTAGTGTCTCCGTGATAAACTAGATGATTATTTTTTAACGCGTTGATCATGCTGCTAATTTTATTAACACAATCGTTTTTCCGTGTTTTTTTTTTTTTTGTTAAATACCATAGACCACGAGCTGTGAAGTATATGTGTCAAATCCGGCATTGTTCTTAGCGATGCAAGTATAGTTTCCTTGATTTGAAGGACCAGCCGAAGGAATAGACAAAAAATTAGTTGCATCTCCCAACATTTGTGTGGTCACACCCATATCGGACGATAACGCTTCACCATAAAAACTCCAAGTTATTGACATTGGACGATCACCCTTTGATACCGAACACACAACTTGAATTGATTCACCAGAATTTACCGGACCGTCCCCAAATGAAAACGGAATGATCTTTGGTAATACTGAAATAGGTAGTTCTTAATAATACGTAAATTGAAATACCTATTCGACATGTGCTTTTACCCAAATATATTTTATTTTTAATGGTTTTAAAGGATTTTTCGATCATGAATCCACAATATTAAAATAGGAAATATATGCATAGGTAAATAAGAAATCATAAATATAAATTTAAAAACCAAATGATGATCTAAATAGTAAAAACATAGATATGCAGATAAGATAATATAATAAACATAATAGTTACTCTAAATTGGAGAGTAAAATCACTACCATTTACTAATAGCTGAGAAGTAAAAGAATCATTTCCAGCTGAATTTTTTGCTAAACAAGTGTAATTTCCGCGGTTAGAAGGGACCACTGATGGTATAATCAAAACATTCATCGAATCTCCGACAGGCATAGTACTAACACCCATGTTTGATGATAACTCTTCACCATAAAAATTCCAAGTAATACGTAAAGGTTTATCACCCTCCATAACAGTACATCCGACTTGCACAGGATTTCCAGCGTTGCTAGGTGAATCACCAAAAGAGAATGGTAATATTTTAGGACGTACTGTAAGAATTAATATATAACAATGCCAAATGACTAATTTACATAATTTCTTTAAAATTATACATTTTTTTTATAATTTTTAAAATAAAATATTAGTTTATGGTAATTATGTATTTATGTGTGATACAATGAAATATTGTATTATGATGACTGGTTAAATTTCTAAAATAGATTTAAACATTTAATTTAAAACGCTATAAGGATAAGTTTAGGATAAAAAGTGCTACACTAAATACACATATACAAATAGTTAAAATCCAGGTAATTTTGGATACCGTTAACTAAAAGTTGAGCTGTAAATGAATCAAGCCCAGCTGAATTTTGTGCAACACAAGTATAGTTTCCCCTGTTTGAGGGAGCAACTGATGAGATAAACAAAGCGTTCATCGATTCTCCAACTTGCATAGTACTAACGCCCATATCCGATGACAGGTCTTCACCATAAAAATTCCAACTAATACGTAACGGTTTATCACCTTCTGAGACTGTACATGCTACTTGAACGGTATTTCCAGCATTGCTAGGAGTATCACCAAAAGAAAATGGTAATATTTTTGGACCCACTGTATAGGAAGAAAAAATGTGTGCATTTTTTTTAAAACAATACAACTCTAATAAAATTACGGTATTATTAAATGTTGTGTTTTTTATTTAGTACATAAGTACACTGTCTTATACGATAAAAGGATTAAATAGGATTTAAAGTTATAGCGCTACAAACGATAGTTGCGTGTGTAATCAAGAATATAGGTATAATGTATACCATTAACCAAAAGTTGTGCCGTATATGAATCATATCCAGAAGGATTTTTAGCAACACAAGTATAATTTCCTCGATTCGAAGGAGCAACAGATGGAATAAACAAAACGTTCATTGAATCTCCAACAGCCATGGTGCTAACGCCCATGTTTGACGACAGTTCCTCGCTATAAAAATTCCAATTTATACGCAACGGTTGGTCACCTTTTGCAACCGTGCATCCAACTTGAACTTTATCACCTGCATTACTGGGATTATCTCCAAATGAAAATGGCAATATTTGTGGTGGAACTGTAAACGTACATGTTAGCTTATTCTTATTATAACTTATAAGTAAGTTATCTATATAAATGGTGAACAATGAAAAAATGTATATGTTTCTATCACCGAATAATAAATTTATTGATGATTTTTAATATTTAGATGATAATCTTAATATTAAATTAATATACTGACGAATGAATAAATTATTTAGAAACTTTTTATCAAGTTACCTTGAGGATACACTATTACTGGAAAAGGAATGTCGCATCATACACTATAAGCATACTAATTTTATTTTAAATTTCTACCATTAACCAACAGTTGAGCTGTAAACGAATCATATCCAGCTGAATTTTTAGCTACACAAGTATAGTTTCCTCGATTTGCTGTCCCGACAGAAGGTATAGATAAGACATTCATCGAATCACTTACAGGCGTTGTAGTAATACCCATATTAGATGATAACTCTTCCCCATAAAAATTCCAACTAATACGTAAAGGTTTATCGCCTTTAACAACAGTGCAGACGACTTGCACCGAATCACCAGCATTACTTGGTGTTTCACCAAATGAAAATGGTAAGATTTTTGGGCATACTGTAAACAGTTCAAGATATCTATCAAGATGATTTCTAAACGTATTATAAATCACATCAATCAACTCTAAATAAATATTAAAATATATTAATTTAAGTATGATTGAATCATTTTTCACCGACAGTCTTATTAGGAATACTTTTTAATATATTTTAATTACAAATTGTCAATTATATTTCTACATAAGTATTTATTTTTAGTTATTTAATTTTAGTATACATTTTTTAAATTTAAAGATAATATGTATTTGACAAATAATTACTTTTTTTATTTTAATAATTAGGTTAGAATATTAAAAATATTTATGTTTAAGCGAGTTTTAAAGAATTATAAATTATAACGATAAATAAAACTGCAGTGTCTAGTAGTATAGTATAATAATTTAATTTTTAGTAATTCAAATTATATACTAACAACTAATTATGTTATTTGAAAAAAAAAAAAAACTTGAATACCTACTAAATAAGTGTTTGACAAAGTTGCTCATAAACAATATTTTGATCATCGGCAATCCCTAAACACTAAATGATTAATAGTACATTTGTACTATTAATATTACTATTTTGTAATTGTTGTGTACTTGTGCGATAAATACATCCTATTCATTTTCTTTTTACTATATATTATATTATTCAATTATACATTATTTTAATTCTGTCGCATAAAATGACTCGCAATTATAATTTTGCCAGGTTTACAGAGATACATAATACATAATAAAATATGTTGTACTGAAATGGCCTAAGAAGTTTTAGTTAAATATTTTTTCTTAGTTTTATGCACTTTTCATGTTAATTTAATACCTATTTTTATAAAAAGGATGAAAAGGAAAATAGTGTGATTATTCATTGAAAAACAAACTACTAAAATTATAATATAGGCCACCATTAAGTTATTTAATCATACGATAAGCAACAGTCGTATTTAAACCTAATAATATTGTACCATTAACTTCTAAATATGCAGAATAATAATCCATTCCTACGGCATTTTGTGCTACACATGTATAATTTCCACCATTAGGAAGACCAGCAGAAGGAATGGATAAAATATTTGATCTATCGCCCATAGAGCTAGTATAAACTCCAGTCTGAGATGACGTAAGTTCTGTAGTGTGAAAATACCATGATATTCTTAAAGGTTTATCGCCTTTTGTCACAAGACATGTTATTTGTACTGGTTCACCGGCAAAAACTGCAGACTCAAATTCAAATGGTCTTATTCGAGGCGGAACTAGAAATCACGAAAATCATCTTCAACTTAAAGTTTCATGTTTTTAATAATTAATTTATATTAAAAACTTACATGGGTATATATATTTACAAGCATTACTTATCTTGTTCATGATTATCGTTCATTATTTATTTTATTGATAATAGGATCATGAGGAATGCGCTCAAAAAAATAATAATAGTAATAGAAATTATAGGGAAATAAAGAATGTATATATGTATTGCGATAAGCATAAATATACATAAATTACTTAATGTTTATAGAAAAACAAATAATTGTTTCATAATATTTTTTATAGTACCATTTACTTCTAAATATGCAGAATAAGAATCCATTCCAACAGCATTTTGAGCTACACATGTATAATTTCCACGATTGGAGATACCAGCCGAGGAAATTGACAAACTATTAGCTCGATCACCCAGGTTATTGGTTATTATACCAGTCTGAGAAACTGTTAATTCTTTGCTTTGCAAGTACCACGATATCCTTAAAGGTTTATCACCTTTCGTCACAAGACAAGTCAACTGAACTGGTTCACCAGCATAGACAGCCGATTCAAACTCAAATGGTCTGATATGCGGAGGTACTAAAATTTTTAATGTTTGTTTTATAATTTTAAATTGTAAATCTCACATCCATAAATATTTGATAATAATTTAAAAAGTCTCTAAATGAATAAGATATTTGTTCGCATATATATTATTTTTAAGGTTATATAAATTACAAATAAAAATTATCATAAACGATAATATTAATGTATAGGATTAAAGAAGAAGGAATATGTTACATACTTATCACAAACTAACTACAAGAGCATCAAAATCCAAATGTCTTAATTGGATGCATCGAAATTATTATAGTAGTTCCAGATAAATAATTAAAAAAGCTTTTAAATCGTTAAAAATATTTTGGATAAAAACCATATCCAAGTCTGTACCATTTACTTCCAAATATGCAGAATAAGAATCCATTCCAACAGCATTTTGAGCTACACAAGTATAATTTCCAGCGTTGGAAAGACCCGTAGAAGCAATAGATAAACTACTAGCTCTATCACCCATTGTACTAGTTGTAATGCCGGTTTGAGATGTCAATTCTTTACTGTGTAAATACCATGATATCCGCAATGGTTTGTCACCCTTTGTGACAAAACATGTCAATTGTACCGGTTCACCAGCAAATACTGCTGATTCAAACTCAAATGGTCTGATACGTGGAAGTACTGAAAATATTTTATACTTCAGGAAATTTAAAATTGAGGCATTTACCATTAAATTCGATATAAATATTGCAAAGTCTAAAATTACTTTAAGAAATCAGAGAATAACGAAGAAAAGTCTGGCAACAATATTTATACATTAGATCCTTATTAACGACGTTGGATGTGATACTATTTAAAATATTCGAGAACAACAAGAATAACATAGAAGAGTAGATTAAAAATGAAAATTTTGCTGGTAAAATAGAAATACATAATAATTATCTACACACATAGACTGTACAATTACCTTATTAAATATTATTATATTCGATAATATATAAATTATGCAGTATGGTTTTAAACAACATCGTTAATGAAGACAATTTTAAAATCCAATCTAAAGAAAAGTATGAAATTTGTTTTTCAACTACTAAATTGGGTAAAAATGAAATTTGTAATAATTTTAAAATGTATTATTACTCAAACATTTTGTTAGTAAAAAATCAGTGCTCTAGTCGGTTGTCGTCACTATGAATTGAATAATTAAGAATCCTAAGTGGATTGTTAAAAATATTATTGGCTTAAAATTAAATAAGTATTTCATTAAAAAAAAATATATAATATACATAAATGTATGTTAAATTACTCGTAAGTTTAAAACAGGATTATTATGTTGAATAAATATAATAATAGGATGAAATAGACTTCAATACCTAACAAGGCTACAATAACCTGGACATGCAGAAGTGCTGGAAGCTTAATAATAATACTATTGTGTGAGTCTGAACTGATTATCTTTACCGTTGACCATTAATTCTGCTGTGTATTCGATAACACCAGCTCGATTTGTTGCTATGCATGTATAAGAGCCTCTATGATATTCAGTAACAGACGGTATTTCTAACATGACAATTTTTTTCCCTATGCGATTAAGCAATATAGGCTCAGGCAATGATCTCACTGTTCCACCATCAGCACTATGAAACGTCCAAGAGATGTTAATAGGCATATCACCTCGTGCTACATGACATGTTAATTGAGCATTATCGCCGACACTCAACTCACCATCAACAGAAAAAGGCATTATTGAAGGGGGTACTAAAATCGAAAGAAAATATGTCATGAATAAATTAAAAATACTATTTAGTATTGAGTATTATAATATAGTTTTAGTAAAAATGCATGAAAAATGGGAACTAAAAAAACAAAAAGCATAATGTGCTAGTGCTTATGTTGCGTTGTTACGGATAAATTTTCAAAATATACGCCTCTGTATACCATTAACCATCAAAATTGCAGTTTGATTGACGATTCCTGCTCTATTTGTCGCTTTACACGAGTAACTTCCTCGATGATATTCTGTTACTGTAGGTATTTCTAACATTGTTATTTTTTTACCAATTCTATTTTCAATTATTGGCTGTGGCATAGGTTGTATACGACCATCTGGGCCTTGAAACACCCATGTTATTTCTAATGGTGTATCACCCTTAATTACATGGCAAGTGAGCTGAGCAGTTTCACCAACATTCGATTCACCCTCAAATGAAAATGGTTTCATTAATGGTGGTACTAATAACAAATACATTGTTTTTAATACCGTAGGAAAATAATACGATTAGGAATTATTTATTTATTATTTTAATCTAAATAAATACAATTTAGCGTCACATTGCCAAGAGTTGAGAGTAAGTACAACAGACATGCTACATTATTTTTTTATTTGTCCTCCTTAATTGTTTACCATTCACAGACAAAACAGCAAATTGTGAAACTCGATCTGCACGATTACTTGCAGTACATACATATGTACCACGATGAAACTGTGTTACCACAGGTATCTCAAGTACAGCTATTTTTTTTCCTATCCTATTTATAGTAGTAAGTTCAGGAAGTGGAACTGAACGATTTTTGTCATCCAAAAAAGTCCAAAATAATTCGAGAGGCATATCACCTTTGCTCACATGACAAGTTAACTGTGCATTATCACCAGCATTGGTTTCTTCGTCAAATGAAAATGGTAATATTACAGGTGGAACTAAAAATTATATTGTTTATTGTGTTTGTATACCATCAGAATTATGACAAACATTTTAACTTAATAGATTAAATTTAACAAACCACTAAATTTCACTTACCTGGAGATGTAACAAATAATCTAAAGTTGTTGAAGTTGAGACTTAAATAATTAAATTATCATTGAATCAAAATATTATAATTTGATAGCCCTAAATAATCATTACGAAGAACAATTATTGAACAATCTAAAAGAATTCTACTGATTCCTATTTAAAATAAATTATTAAAATATATACAATAATAATTATTTTGTAATATATGATATGAAGTATTCATGTTGATATGAATTTATTTTTATTTTTATTGTATATTAACCAGTAAATCAAAAATCCAAACCTATAGTATTTATTTAATTTTAAATATTTTGGACAATTTTAATTGAGTAATACTTTTACAATGCCTAAATTAGGTATGAAATATTTATGATTATTAATATATCATACATTTTTAATGAAAGCTATAAATTAACTTTCATGTATTTCTATACTCTATACATTTTTTATAAGTTTAAAATAATTATTATAATTTTTTGAAATAGTTATAGATTATAATCTATTCTTCATATTTAAATTTTTATTTTACCATCAAGAATTTATAGTTATGTTATAGAATGAAATTTTAAATTGTTTTGAGTGATTTGCTTAAATTGATAAATGTATATAATAAGTATACAAAATATCAATCAAAAATTTTATTGAAAATGCTTAAAATAGAAAAATAATAATTTTTTTGGTAAATATGAAGAACAGTTATGTATGAAATATATATTAAAATATTAACATACCCATCACTTGTACTTCTAAATTTCCTTTAGCAGTATGTCCTTGAGCGTTTCGAGCAACACATGTATAAGTAGCTTGATCTGAAGATCTTTCAACATTTTCAATAATCAAAGTGCCATTAGGAAATACTTTTTGTTTGCGGTTGATAGGAAGTTGTCGATTGTCTAATATTTAAATTGTATTTAGATGACATAATTAAATTAACATAATATGTTGAATACTGATAAATTAAATGTGTAAATGTCTACCTCTTTCCCATGTGATTGATTCCAATGGGTATCCGGCTACTGGGCAAGTAACGAAGAGATTTTCTCCTGACACTATATTTTTTTTATCCATGGGTCTAATAAAAGGAAGACCGTAAACATTGAGATGTGCAGTATGTTCAGCAGTACCAACTTTAGATACAGCTACACATCTATAGTGACCACCATCATTAGTGTGGACTGAAGAGATATTAAGATACGAAACTACTTCTCCTGCCATTGTAATATGTTGCCCAATACGAAGTCTAAACATATTAATTAAGTAAAATATAAATTACTAGAATTTTCATACTACAGACCTTTCTGTGCTGCTGAGGCGTTTGGAATCTAATTCCCAGTTGATTTCAGGAGTAGGATTTCCTGATGCAATACATTTCAAGTGTAAAGAGACTCCTGGTTGCATAGTGTTATCATTGAAATATTCTTTAATATGAGGTGGCTCAACTGTTAAAAAATTAAAATTAAATTGCATTAATAAGAAAAAAATATACACTGAAAGATAACATACATCTTCCTCCTAATTTAAGTTCAGCACTTCCTTGAGCACTCTCCTGTTCATTCCTCACAAAACATTGGTACATTCCTTTATCTTCCTTGCGTACGGAATCAATTCTCAATACCCTTCCATCGTGAGAACTCAATCGTTTACCATCTTTCAACCAAGAAATAGTTTTTACTGGATTTCCTTCATAATTACAAGTCAGAGTAGCAGGTCTTCCAAAATCTACAGTTTGAATGGTAGGTTCAACAATTGCATTTAATGGAGCTGCAATTTCCAAATCATAAAGTATAACATGATAATTAATGGAAATAATTAGCAAAAAAAATGAATATTATTTAAAAACAAACTTACCTGTAACTGTCAATACAGTTTCTACACTTTCACCACCAACAGAGTTATTGACAACACACAAATATTTGCCAGAATCATCTACTTTAGCTTCACGAATTATCAATGTTCCAGAAACTTGTTTAATTCTATCATCTAATATTACTGCTTGTTTTTTGTTCGAACCTTCAATAAATTTGTACCACCTGTCCACAAATACAGCCGTTATTGAATAATTTTGTCTTTTTTTTCATAATATTTTAGAAATGTGACTTTTTAAAAAATAAATTGATTAATAATTGATTAATATTTTTAAAATTATGTTTTAAAGCATATTTCAAGTTTTGAAATATTTAAAATAGCGATTACATAATATTTTAAAGTCACATTTCTTTTTTGTTTAAATAAAAATGGCAGTTTATAAAGTATTTATTTGAAATTCATTTTTTACATATATGAATAACTATTATTGAATTCTCACATATTTAGAATTAGGACTATTAAAAATTATATTAAAAAGTTTGTTAAATAAATATTCATTTTGCCATATCTATGCCACAATTTAGCACAAAAAAGAAAAAAAAAAGAAACAAATACAATTTATTAATTTAGTTTAGAAAATAAGAAACAACCAAGAATAAAAATTTAATAACTTGTTTCAGTTGAAATTTAGAATTGTGTAATCATTACAGATAAAAATATAAAATAATAAATACAGTATAGATATTAAGTAAGAATTAAAAAAAAGTTTACGTATATTCAATTTTATTTAAAATCAAATGTAAATATAATTTTTTTATTATAAAAATGTAATTATCACACAACACATTAAATAAAACAGATAAAATAAACATACATTTTGGAAAAACTTCATATATTTTAAATTAATTTCTGTTTACTAACTGAATATCTTATAAAAATAAGTATCAAATATTGATAATCTTACAACTTGAACTTAAAGAATCAAGTAGACTTTAGAGGGATAGAGGTGCAAAATTAGATCCAACATTAACATACTTGAAATAAATTGTTTGACTATGAATTTTTGTATGTAACTTAGTAGTATAACAGTTAATTTATTATTAAGAAATTTGAACAGAAATGGATGATCAAGTTTATTTGTACACAACTTACTCATATTTGGGAATGGGGAAACCTTGACCAGGGCATAGGAGTACAGCTTGTCCATTAGCAATAAAATGATTGCCTTCAAAACGTTCTTTAGAAACCTTACCGGCAATATTTGAATGTGGTTCTGTAATTTTGTGTTTATTTTTTTTACTTGAATATTTTTAACTATGAAATAAAAGGACAGAGAACCCCGTTTGAATATTTATAAACACATTAAAACACTCAAATTTTTGAAGAATTTTTATAAAACGTGTATTGCTCCCAATAGTCCAAACTTTAACCATTACATAAATACCTTTTAAAAAAAATATTTAACATACCGATATATAGGAATGGGAAAACCAATCACATTACAAACAATATAAATATTTTTTTTAAAAGCAGATGTTATTAATTTTCCTCCATCATATTTTTCACCGGGAGCTTTTGGAGATAAATTTCCTGTAGGCTCTGTAAATTTATTTAAACTAAGTGATTTTTATAGAGTAGGTATATCAGAAAAGATACTAAAAATTATGGAAACCCAAATGTCAGGTAAATATTAATTTTTTTTTTTTTTAGTTTTATAAGCACCACATATTTTAATTTTAAATTGGTACATAAATACAAATATATATTTTTTTTTTTTTGAAGTGTCTTAATAAGATATATTGTATATTGTATATATTAATTGCAGATAACATAATATAAAATATACTTAATTAACTGGACTGGAATTTCATTTAAACAGACTGGTAACAACACATACAAATATTATACTTAATTTACATACCGAAAATAAGGGACAGGGAATCCCTGAGCTGAACAAACCATTGATAAATGAGATTCGATCATAAATGGTTTTCCAATTAAAATGGCAAGTTCTTCCTTTTTAATTTTTGGTGAAATACTTGTTTGGGGATCTAAGAACATATTGATATATGGATAAGATAATATAAAGAAACTATCTAATGGAATAAATAATAATAAAGTCCCTGTCTTTATTGAAGCCCGAAAAATAATTAATACATTATTATGACTTATTGACTCTTTAAGTTATATTAAGTTAGTATAAAGTTAATAATATATTTTAGTGCTATAAATCTACCTGAAAACAGGTACTGGATGACCTTGAGTCTCACATAATAACACAATATTTTGTCCAAAAACCCCGTCAACATGATCAAACTTTAATTTTGATGGTACTTTAGGAATCACTGTTCCTATTGGATCTGTTCAACAAAACCATTTAGTTGGTTTAATGTTTTTATTTAATTTAATATGCACTAAAAATTGATGGTACTCATTAAAATAATTAAGTTTCTACTTAAAAATATTGTAACCATATGGAAAAATAATATTGAAATATAAATATTATATGAGTAAAATCAAAAATCATAAGCCAAAAAAATATTAGAGATTATGAGCTTAATTAATAACAGTATAGTTTTCAAGTACTTTACTTTTTGAGTTTTATTTAATATAATTATTATAGTTTTTGATATTAAGACCCAAAACTATTAAACAAACTTGGTAATAAATGTATTACAATAATCAATAAATAATGTTAAAAATTATTAAATTATCATTAAATATTTTTTGTATTGTCAGTACTGTTGTATAGTATTGAGCTTAATTTAGAATAAGTTTATTATTATTTTTAAGACTTTAATTTTTTAATGCATTCAAATTTATAATAATAATACATTTCTATAATTGTACATCAAAGTTAGTAATACCTGCCTAAATAAGTACCAAAAACTCGATCATTGGATTCATAATGTGTCAGAATTTTTTTAATTATTTTTATTAATAATCTCTTTATTTATATTTTATAAACTATCATTTATTAATATATTATTATAATTTATGTAACTAATTATCTGATAAATATATAATAGACACTAATTACATTGATAACTTTGTCATTATTTCCTAATTTTTTAATAGTAAATATTTTAAAATATCTGTGTCATACTTTTTAATCATTAAAATAATTAAATGTTATATCTGCATAATATCAGGGACATGAAATTGTAAAATAATACAATTTTTATCAATATATTATACATGTATATCATTTTTAAGAAAAAGTTGTATACAATGAAATATGATCATACTTAATATTAATTAATCAATTAATCATGTATAATAAATAAAAACTTCAATTAAATTCAATATATACATTTATTTTTTTTAAATATATTTTCAATTAAATTTTGATATGACATAAATAAATAATTAATCCAGAGTAATAAAAACAGATTTGAGTAATAATTACCGAAAATTAGGAACTGGGAAACCTTGAGCTTGACATTGTAAACCAATATTAGCATTTAGTGATCGAATGTATGCTGTAATTTTTGTATCAGTTGAAAAAGTAGGAGATTTCATCCCAATTGGTTCTAAATTATGTTTGTAACAGATAAAACAATAAAAGTCTGTTATAGTTTTAAACTTTTAAAAATTTTTTTTTTAAATACAACAATTACATAAATTTCATTCATACTATAATATAATATTGGTCTAAGTCTAGTAAGAATTTCAATTATTATAAATTTATTTTTAAAAGAATGCTTTGTTTAAATCTTTAATTGCTTGTAACAGTAAAATTTTTGTCAAAGGCTAAAGTTATACAGCTAATAAATATCTAATCTATAAATTTTAGTGCAAAAATAGTAAAAATCTTTTTTTTTATACAACTTTAAATAGGTATATATTAATGTTGGTTTTTAAAAATATAAAAACATTTATATTTCCTTGATGAATACATTTTTTCTTTTATAACTAATTAAAATTATTTACTATACCGTATAGTTGCAATTGGGTATGATTGAACTTCACATAAAAGACCTATGTTAGAATACTGTACTCGTTCAAAAGAATGAATTTTATCGTCACTTGCAAATGTGGGTTTTTTAACACCAACAGGTTCTGGAATTGTTTTGATACTCATTTAATGACAATTTTAAACCTAACTAGACGAACCTGTATGTAGGTATAGGGTACGCTTGTAGTTGACACCACAACGACACGTCTTCTTTTGCATATCGAAATGCAAAACGACTTTTTTCATCCAAAGCTAATGATGGAGGTTTGACACCCAAAGGTTCTGGATTATACAATATAAAAATTGATTTAATCTATTGTATTTAAATCTGTCTTAATTTAACTAGTTAATTGATATTTTTATATGTTTTTGCATTATGTAATATCTGATTTAAAACTTAAAATATACCTTTATTTATTTTTATATTTAATATTTTATAAATGATAACTGTTAAAATAACATTATATTTATATGCTACCGACCTGAAAGACGGTATAGGATAAGCCTGAGTTTGACAAAAAAGTGTTATATATTGTCCAAAATGACGTATGATTGTTCTACTTTTATCATCTGGTGCAGTAGGGGCTTTAACACCAACAGTGTCTAAAGAGGAAATATTTTAAGAGATTAAAACACATTTCCTAGTAGCAATATTATTCCACAATGTTAAAAAATGAGAAAAATTGAAAGAATTTTATATTAACTAAATGATAACCATAAATTTATTCATAATTTTGTCTTACTGAGATAAAGGAACTGGAGAACCTTGTGCTAGACACAGTAAACCAATCTCTTTTTTAATTTGTCTTTCTATCCAACTACGTTTTATATCTGATGATAATGAAGGAGCTTTAACACCAATCGGGTCTATAAGAAATTAGATCAACTTTAAAGAAAATCACTATCAAAATTAGATATATTATTTCAAACCTGAATGCTGGGATAGGATATCCTTGTGCGTCACATAAAAGATTTAAATCAGCAAAAGACTTCATTTTAAATTTGTATGTTTCTGATTTGGCAGAAAATGCAGGAGATTTTAAGCCTACAGGCTCTAAAAGGTAAAGCATCAAAATACATTTTTAAAATTATTGTATAATTGTCTCACCTGAATTCTGGGACAGGATATCCCTGAGATTGACACAGTAAAACAATAGCATTCTTAGAGCTTTTCTTTAAACGAGTACCTTCAAAATCTGAAGATAATGTAGGAGATTTAAATCCTATAGGCTCTGGATACAAATTGAAAGAAAATAGTTATGCATATATTTTTATGAATCAGGTTAAAATCTGAATGTTGGAGATAAGGTAATTATTTTTATTTTTATTTAAGATCAAATTAAGTAATTTATAATAATTTACAAATATTTTCATGGTAAAACAATTTAAGTTAAAAAGAATTTAATACTCAACAGTATATTTGGAAAAAATTGTTTACAATAAATGTTATTTATTATATTCAAATTAAGGAAATGATTAAATCCCTAGTTCATTAAAAAAAGAAAAAGAGAAATTAGCTATGTAAAATTTAATAATTGTTAATTTTTATTAATAACTCGATCATATTCCTATTTATACTATCTCCTAAAAATGCATAATTTATTTGTCTCATTAAAAAAAAAAAAAAATTTTTAACAAAGCATATTTGACAATAGGTAGGTGGTTAGTAACTTTTATTTTATTACCTGATACATGTTATGATACCTATCTACATGTTTAATTCTGGGACACTTTATTTTTCATAAAAATATGATTGTTTAAATTGTTTTGTATTTCATAATGTTAACTGCTATAATCATGTAATTTTAATTAGAGGTAAAATTTAAAAAAAATGGTAAAACTCGTATTTAGTTCTCACATTCTCACCTAAAATCAGGTACAGGATATCCTTGTGATTGACATAATAAAACAATTGGACCATATACACGTTTTTTTAATCCAGTAATAGAAAAATCTGATGATAATGTAGGGGCTTTATAACCAACAGGTTCTGAAAATTCAGTAGGTATATGTTAACTTTGTATCTCGAAAAAAATTAAATATTATTTTCTGTGAACCCAAATGCTAGTGAAAGATTTACCCATGCGACTTTAACATAGTTAATTAATAAAAAAAAACCTTCTAATTTTTATTTAGAAACTATATGGAAATAAATAGAAAATATTCTCTCACCTATGATCAGGAACTGGATATCCTTGTGATTCACATAACAACACAATATCAGATTTAGACCTACGGTTAAATATAGTTCCCTTTGAATCAGATGAAAAAGCAGGTGATTTTATACCAATAGGATCTAAAAATAATCGGATAGATAAAACAATATATAAACTATTATAGAAATACATATAAAAATAATTGATCTTTAGCCAAAATGTCAGAATAAAGTAAGTCCACTTTGTTTAACAATAAATATTATATAACTATAATTATTAAAAAACAGATCTTTTTTTAAATTTTAAGAATCTTTCATGTGAGTTAAAACTAGTAAATTATATTAACATTGTGGAATAATCTCACCTGAAACTTGGGGCAGGGTACCCTTGTGCTGAACACAATACTGATAAATCATTATTAGACCGTTTTCTATACCTTGCACTTTCTGCATCAGATGAAAATACTGGTGACTTAAGACCTACTGGTTCTATAAATTATACCAAAAGGTTTTATTATAAATACCTAACTGTACCTGAATGAAGGGATAGGATAGCCTTGAGCTTCACAGAGTAAACTAATACTATTTGAACTTTTTTTCTTGAATCTGAATATCTCATTTTCCGATGGAAATGTAGGTGTCTTAAGACTATATGGTTCTGGAATATGTAAATTTTATTTCCAAATTGTTTGGATTTTTTATTTTTATTATTGCTTATTATTTAAATTATAAATTATTCAATAATAATTTTAGTATACTATATGATTTGTTCATAAACATTTAATACATTTTATCAAGTCAAAATTTTTGAATTTGGTTACCTGTATTCTGGGATTGGGTACCCTTGGGCCGAACAAAGTAAAGAGAGATGTTCCAACAAATGTTTAACAAACCAACTGGACTTTGAAGAAGATGGAAACGTAGGAGACTTGAATCCTACAGGTTCTATTTTACCCCAAAATATATAGAGAATAAGTCGATAAAATATTTTACCTGAATGTTGGTACACCATATCCCTGTGCCAAACATAATAAACTAATAGTTTGATCCATTTTTTTTATATAGGTAACAGATTTAGCTTCTGATGGAAAACTTGGAGCTTTTAAGCCAATAGGTTCTATAATCGAAACCAAGAAATGTCATTATAACAATAATTTTAAAAACGAAACAAAACTATATTTATAAAGGGTCTTTGATAATTGCATTAAAGCTCAAAACTAATGCACTTTATAGTTTAAATATTATTAATTATTTCAAATTACAAGATTTATACCTATAAGTTGGAACTGGATAACCTTGCGCTGGACACAACATGTTAACATTTTGTAATAATTTTGATTTGAAAGATTCTGCCATCATTGGAAATTTAGGTGCAGTCGAACTTACTGGTTCTAGTGGTTTTTTAAATGGAAAATTTAATTTAGATTTTTATAATGCCTTACCCACCTTGAAATTGGTACAGGGTACCCTTGTGAAGGACAAAGCAGAACAAATGAACTATAATGTTGAATTTTAAATCCTTGAATGTTTGTTGTTGACGAGAATTTTGGAGCAATACTAGTAATGGGATCTAAATTAAAATAAAACGTAAAACTACATAAAATATAGCATAGTAAAGATGATTTTTTTGCAGTTATTGTAAAAGTAAATTGAAACTTTATTATATAATAATTATAATTGAAAATTGAAATATGTTCAACTAGTTTTCCTAACCTTTAAACCATTGTGTTTTAATAAATTAATTCTATTCAAATGCTAGTCCTTACCTGTATGTTGGTACTGGATGACTTTGAGCAGAACAACTTAACACAAGACTATTTCCTGATCTGAACTGATAGCTCTTACCAGTTTCCAAAGAAGCAAATTTTGGAGATGAACTACCAACGGGGTCTAAGAAGTGATAAAGTATTTTCTAATATCATGATAACAGAAAAATGAAATAACTTTATTTGAATCAATATTTTATTTGATTTAATATTTTGCATGGCTGACTTGTGCTTTAATGTGTCGCAGGGGTACCCTATCCCAACATTCAGGCTTCATTTTCATTCAAACACACATTTTTCAGTAAACAAGTTTCTTCATATTTTGATAGAACAAAATATATCATACACCTTCATATGCAGTACAAATATTATTATGTAAAATAAATAAAAATTAATACAATTATTATGACTTAATAATTTAAAAAAACTGGTAAAACTAAAAAATATGTGTCTGAGTGCAATATTAGCTTAAAAATTTAAAATTAAAAAAATAATTTTTTAATAAGACCAATGATGCATTTAATATTAAAAATTAAAATTGTTTTAAAATATTTTTGATTTTAATAAAAGTATCATATTTTTAGTACCATAAATATAAATAACAACAATGATCTTATTATCAATTATTTATTGTACCAAATAGCTAAATTAAAATATTAAAATTTTTTAAAAACCTTAAATAAAAGCTATGATATTATAAAATAGTTTATAATTGAATTGATTTAAAATTAAAATTGCTATTTTTCATTATTGTCTTTAACTTACAAACATAAGAAAGTATAATAATTTAGCTATTGGCATTTACACTAAGAAAAATATATTGGTAAACTACAATGAATAAATCAGTGTTTCTCAATAGGTATAACAATAGTGTCACAAAGCATATTAAATGACACAAAATGTATAAACATTTTTAATATGATTTATAAAAATTAATAGATATTTGATATAATTTCTTTAATGATTAAATTAAGTTATCTGTTATTGTTATTTATTATTTTTAATTTTACATCATTAATTTAATTAAGATTAAATATTATCCATTATTCTTAGTTTTTTATTGTATGTTGCAAAGAATAAAATATTTTTATATTGTGTTGCTATAAAATAAAAGTTGAAAAACACTAGAGTAAATAATAAAAATATGTAGATACAGTAGAAAAATTGTACATAAAATTAATTGCTAAAGGTTTTCAGTAGAAGTCATTCAATTTGTTTGGCAACTTCATGTATAGTATTTATTATAAATCAAGAATAAAATATTGAAAATTTAAGTTTAATCATACTAAAAATATTTTAGAATTTTTTTTGCTTAAAAAAAATAATATAAAATTTGAATTAAAAAACTTTTTGATTTAAAATATTTAACTATGTTTATTACCAATATACTTTTCATTGAATAAGTAAATATTTATGTAAAATTATATTTTACTAACCTGTAATAACTAATCTTCCTTTAGTAGCACTAAGTCTTGTTTCTCCAGTTAATCTATGTTTAGTTCGACATTGATAAGACTTAGTTCCATCTTCTGGTGTTACGTCACGAATATGCAATTCTCCAGAAGGTAAAACCAAATATTTACCATCTTGAAAATTAAAAATTAATTAAAATTAGAATTGATTTGTAGACATTTATTTTGCAAAAGCTTCGTAAAAATATAAAAGAGATTTCAAACAATTTAAAAAAAATATAAAATTTTAAAGAAAAAAATTTTGAATTGTCATCAATGTTTTATTTTTTTAAAGTTAATAATTAATGATGGTAATGAAATCTCTCATAATCGATGCCAAATGAAAAAATATATTTTATTAAGAAAGTGCAACAGTAACAATTTTCATTATTTAGGAAACTGTAAATATGTAAATTTAAGAATTTATTTTAAGCAAATTAAAATTAGAGATTATAATGAAAAAAAATATAAATTGCTTCATTTAAAACGTAACTAAATGATTGTTAAGTTAGTACCTAACCGTTCAAAGCAGGAAAAAAACCATTAGGACACAGTCATGTAATTATAAAATAAAACATCTATACCAGATAGATGGAAATTTTTTCTGAACAATAGCAACATTAAATGTTTTTTTTAGTAAAAATATTCTAAAAAAAAGTAAAATAATACAAGTTTAAAAAAAATACCTTATATCCTTAAAAAAAAATACGAAGCTGCTGTAGCATAGATAAAGTTCTCAAATACCTCAAGTAATTTTATTCTCATGACTGTGACAACCTGTATGGTTATTTGCTTAATGAATTGGTGTTTTTAATAAAATACGCTACATGTGGCACTATCTTAATGTACACACACTAATAATGTATGAAATTCACAAATTTATTATACATTTATTTTAAGTTAATTATAATTTTGCATCGATTATTCTCATTTAAAAGCAAAAGCAATAAACAACTGAACAATATTTGAAGCTTTATATAAACATTTCATTAAATTAACAAGAAAAAAAATGAAAAATAAATATTATTCAGTAATTCAATATCAATATGTAATATTAGTATGTTTATAAATCTATTTAATATAAAGTATCAAATTGTTCAGTGTTAACTAACTACATAACGCATTCATTCATCACATTCATCCAGGATTCAGAGGGACATAAAGAAAAATGATGAAAATATTGGGAAACAAAAAAAGGAAAACCGCAACGTACCCTTGTCTTATTTATTTCAGAAAAAAACCGAATCTCTAAAAAATTATTTAAACCTAATAATAAAACCTAGAAAGTTAAGAAAATGTTTTATTTTAATACCATAAGCATGATTTGCATTAATTGAATACTCATCACCATCATCTGAAGTCCAACTAGATATAAACACATAATCGGCAACAAAACTAGGGATGTGACATTTCAATATAGCAGTATTTCCACGAAGAACAGATTCATCCATTACATTAATAGTGTAAAGTTGATTGACCACTAAAAAGAGACAACAATTCAGAATAAACAGTGAGAAAAATTTTGATAAATATAATGAAATTTATTAGACATCAATGTGTGCTAAAGAATATCAGTGAAAAGTATGTAAAACAATTTAAGCGTTTATAATTTTTTTGAAATTTTCACTATTAAAAATATGTATTATACTTATACATATACGAAGCACAAATACAGGACGAAAAAAGGAAAATTATGTAAATGTACATATTTGATTTCATATTATAAAGTCTACAATAATACACATTAATACCAAAGTTTTTATTGGGTGATACAAAATATTTGTTTCCAATAGTATCTTCCCAAGAGACAACAGAAACATAATCGGCAACAAATGATGGTACAATACATTTAAAAATTGCAGTATTGCCCTTGATGACAAACATATCATACAAAATTGCTTCATAATACTGATTAACAACTGAAAGCAACCAATTGAATAATACAATTTCTATATTTAAGTAGATACATAAATGAAATATGATAGTTAGATATTTACAAATTTAGATATAATATGTGAAACAGACCGAATTTTTAAAAATATAATATGATTATTAAAAAAAAGTTTTTTAACATCAAGATATATCATAAAAATGTATTAAATGTCTTATTTAGAATACAAATAGGTATATTATTAGAAAATGTGATTATATATAAAAACCAATAAGTGGAATTTTGTGGCAAAAAGAAAAAATAAATAGGAAATGTCAATCTATATAATACGTAAGCAATACAACATATTTATACAATCGAACAATAAATTTTCATTATTCATCATAATATCGAAAATACTACCATGATTTGTATTTGGAGTAAAATAGATTTCACCGTTAGAAGTTTCCCATGAATCAACATAAATATAGTCAGACACAAATGAGGGTACGGAACATTTGAAAATAGCTGTATTACCTCTAATTACAAACATATCATAAACTTGGGCTTCATAATATTGATTCACAACTGAAAAATATATGTATTTAAAGTATATACATTTTGAACTTAGTTTTGAGAAAACTGATTCATTGGTTCAGGATATTAGATGGAAAATAATTGTTTTTTTTTTTTTTTTTTTAATAATATTTAAATCATATATTCCAAAACATAACAACTAGGTATTGACAACACAAACCCTTATAGAGTTGATTAATATTGAACGATTCTCCAGACTCAGACACCCATTCTATAATTTCGAGAAAATCGCCAACAAAACTGGGCACTATGCATTTTAATATTGCTGTATTTCCTTTGAGTACAAACTCATCATTAACTCGAAGCTGATATGATTGTTCCACAACTAAATGCATATTTAATTAATCATAATAAACTTTTTCTTTTTTTTTTTTGTATTATTTTTAAAATTATATTTTATAAGATTTATTTTGTACCTACTAATATTGATATATTAAAGTGAATAGGAACAATAATATAAAATTAAAAGTCATTCATATTTCTATCATACATTAAACATCGAGTCTAAAAATGCGTATTGTACCCTGTTTATCAACGTTTGTTCCAATACTGTTTCCACTATCATCCACCCATCCTAACACATGAACAAAATCCGCTACAAAACTTGGAACGAGGCATTTTAAAACAACAGAATTTCCTAATAGCACATATTCGTCAATAACTCTAGTTTGATAAAGCTGATTCACCACTGGATATATATATATAAAAAAAAAAAAAAAAAAAAAAAAACATTAATTGACTTTTTGGCAGAATAATAATAATATCGGTATATTCGTAGTTTTTTTCAGCACACGATTTGAAAAATTTCTAGACAGGATAAAAATAAATACATAGTAGATGTGAATACATAACATTATATTTAACCAGACTATTTTGAATTTTACCATAATTATTATCGTGATAATATGATTTTCCAGTGGAATCTACCCAGTGAGTGACTGAAACAAAATCGGCTACGAAACTTGGTATTTCGCATTTCATAATGATGCTATTACCTCTGATGACGTATTCATTATCAGCCTCAGCTTCATATGACTGATGAACAACTGACAAAAATTTATTAACATCCATGATTAACACACGTATTGACAATCACAAGACACATCAATTTTAAAATTCGTCGTAAAGATAGAGAAAAAGTGCTTTGACTACGTATATATAATTTTTTCAATATTGCATATTATATATGGATTCAAGTCAGGATTTTTAGATAAACGTTTGAAATAATAATCCTTGTTAAGTTACAAAATCTTACAATTATTGTCATTCGAATTAAATATCGTATGAACAGTAAAAATAGTATCATTGTCAGCTATCCAAGCGTCCACTGAAACAAAATCAGCAACAAAACTGGGGATTTTGCATTTAATTATTGCGGTATTACCACGTATTACATATTCGTTTTCGGCTTCAGTGACATAATTTTGAATAACCACTGTAAAATAATTAAAACTTTGCAAGATAATCGAAAAATAATTGTGCTTACATAACGATTATACAACGATGATGATATATTTTGGATTATATAAAAGGATTACTATGACACAAACATTTAAAAAACGTTATCTTCTTCTAAGATTTTTCATTAATAATTTGTTTACTTTCAGTTGAATCTTTAGTATACGTTTGACCTTCACTCGTCACCCAAGACTCAACAGTAATAAAATCGGCTACAAACGACGGCACGCTACATTTTAGTATAGCCGAGTTTCCTCGTATTACATATTCTGTAGGCATCAATTCAGACTCATAGTTCTGATTCACAACTATTTTTAAAAATAATGAAGTATAAATATAAAAATAAAATAAAAGAGTACCTAAATAGATAACCGACGGATTTCAACATGAGAGGAATTATTAGTATACATCAGAACACATTACACTGATTAAATACTACGTTCAAAAATTACTGTGTACCATATCTATCACTTAAATAATGGTATTCTTGACCATCAGAAGATATCCAAGATTCAATTGAAACAAAATCTGTTACAAAACTTGGCACTTTGCATTTAATCACTGCAGTGTTACCAAGTATTACATATTCATCTTCGGCTCCAGTAATATAATTTTGTAATACAACTATAAAAATTTAACACTTGAGCCTATCAATGTACGATTAAAATAAAAGTAAAGTAAGAATAAATAATCCTGAAAATAATTAGTATTGTTTCCTATTTTTTTTATTCGTGTTTAAAATATAACTTATCTTCATTTTAAAACGCATAAAAACGTCACATAACCATATCTACACAACGACGAACTATCATTTCAAAATAGGACTATTTAGATATGCCAAATTTATCTGGTTAATTTTTTTTCTTTTTTAAATAAAAACATCAATAATATAATATTATTAGGATTTAAAAAGTATACGTGTCCAGTTAAAAAATTAAAATTGAAGGTATTTTTAAAATTGTATACTAAGTCTAAGGAATTGACGGAGTTAGTGTGTATTATAGTCAATTGGCTTTAAGAAACCATGACCTACCATAATTATTGTCATTTAAATTATGATATTCTTGACCATCAGAGGATATCCAAGAATTTACGACAATAAAGTCTGCCACAAATGAAGGAATAGTGCATTTTAATATAGCTGTATTACCACGTATCACATACTCCGTTATCACCTCTGAAGCATACATCTGGTTAACAACTTAAGAGAAAATAAATCGATTAAATGGAAAGAACTTAATTAAAATATTATAAATTAATAACGATTGTTCATAAATACGTTAACTAATTTAATATTTTATTTTGTTTTAAATTGTTCATAAAAATAATAAAACGTCGAAATGCTTAATAACTTAAAAATAACCGATACTTTTTTAAAAATAATAAACATTTTTATATTTATCACAAAGGTACGTTCATATAGCCTATATAGGGATATGATTTTAAAATTATGTGATGTGAATTATAAAATGTTTCTGAATTTTTCTAACAAAAATACCTTGGGTATAATCATGATGAAATATATACTCGTTTTCTGTATTATCGTTCCACGATAAAACTGTTACAAAATCGGCTACAAATGATGGTATACTGCACTTTATAATAGCTGAATTACCTCTGATTACATGTTCATTATTTACTTCTACTAAATAATTTTGCGTGACCACTAACAGTAAAAAAAATATATATATAATAATATCTAAATGTAGATTTTAATCGAAGTATTGACGTGTATAGTAAAATATTAAGAGATTAAAAATTTGCGTGTAAATTATCAATGAGGGAATTTATGTTAAGTGTTGTTTGGTATATTGTGAAAAACAAAGAACGATAACCTGGAGTACAATAGGGAGTGGAAGATTTAGTAGTTGTACAATAATTTAAATTGAATGACACATATTCTCTTCATATACACATATGGTCTAATTTGCAAATACCATCATGGATAGATTGGGTTGACATAGAGGGGAACACATTTCCGGCGTCGTCTTGCCATGATATAACAGACACAAAATCGGCAATGAAAGGCGGTATACCACATTTTAATACTACTGAATTGCCTCTAATGACGTACTCCAATCCGACATCACTTCTGTATGGTTCTTGTATTACTAAAATAATCCTTATTTATTTTATAAACTAACAAGTAAATAATATGATTATTTAATAATTAATTATTAAATAATATGTTTTATAATTTAAATACCACAAAAAATTTGAAATATTAACAGAGTTGTGAGACTTTGAAAAGGATTAAAAATGTTGACTCAAACAATTTAATGAATTTAAATCCTTTTGTACCATAATCTATTGCTTCACTTTCATAGGTGTAGTAATTATTACTAACGTCATCAGTCCAATAAATTACATTAACAAGATCCACTAAAAAAGGTAGAATATTGCATTTGAATAATAACGAGTTTCCCCCGATCACATAATTTAGATAAACATAACATCACTTCTATGCAGTTCTTCGATAACTAAGATAATTTATTTTATAAACAACCATTAATAAATGGATAGAAAAAGAAATTTGTCACACTTAAAACACTAGGATGTAAGTATCAATAATCGTCCACTATAAAATCATTAAATTAAATACCATTATTATTTAATAAGTTTATGGGTTTTTCTTCAATTAATGATGGTTCGTAAACATTGCCACGATTATCCTGCCAAGATACAATAGTCACGAAATCAGCGATAAATGGTGGTATGCTACACTTTAATACAACCGAGTTACCCCGTATAACGTATTCATTGTTCACTTCACTTCTGTATGGTTCTTCTATAGCTAAATAGATAATACAAAATTAAGGAGTTACGCATAAATATAAGAATCTGATTTTAATAGGATTTTATTAAAAATGCGTTAGGAATCTCCATATCATACTATATAATATATGGCTACAAAATACCATAATCTATTCCAGGGTAAAAATTGTCACCCTTATCAGTGGTCCATGATAATACGATTACAAAATCGGCAACAAATGATGGAATACCACATTTCATTACAACCGAATTGCCTTTTATCACTGGCTCTTTATTTACGTCAACTTCGTAATACTGACTTACAGCTATAGTAGAACAAACAATTAAGACACTATACACACAAACATAATTAATTTAATGGGCATATTATTGGGTGAAATTATACGAGAGATTAGATAGGAAACACTGTCACTTTCAACTATAAAATCAATTGTAATTAGATTTAAATTCATTAAATGCACACCACTAAATGTAATACCATTATCATTGCCTGGATAATATACATCGCCATTGTCAGTATGCCATGATATAACGGTTAAGAAGTCTGCGACATACGACGGAGTTTCACATTTCATAATTACAGAATTTCCACGAATAGCGTAAGCTTTGTTTACATCAGTATCATAAAACTGTGTAACAACTAGAAGAATAACATATCAGGGTAAGTAATAGATATTTTTTGAATATTATAAAGGGGTGAAAAATTATAAACATGTTTGGACAGGGTAAAAAATACACACAGAAGTGGTCATTCATGTTTATTAATCTCAATACTTGACATATATATATATATATATATATAAAGTACTTATGTCGCTGTATATTATTATTCTAGAATCTACAGCATCGTGTACACAGTATAAATCATTAAATGTACACTTAAATTAACTGCAACTTTGTAAAATGTATTCAATATTTGGACAATCATCTAGGAAGAACACATTCGAACATTTAACACACTAATCTTCCTACCGTAATCAGATCCTAGAATATATTCCGAATCTTCGGTAATCCACGATAAAACATGTACAAAGTCAGATACATACGAAGGAACTTGACATTTCATTACAGCTGAATTGCCTTTAATAGCAAATTCTTTAATTACATCAATTTCGTAATTTTGTGCGACAACTAATAATATCAAACATCCATATTATAAACAGATATCATAAGTAATAGCAATATATTATGAAATATTATAAAAAAAAAAATCAATAATCAGATACCTATATCATCGGCTGTAAATAAAAAATCACATTAGTAGTAAACAGGGCTTATATTAATATAATATTATCAAACATAAGGTTTAAATTAATACATATTACATGTAAATAATATTATTATTTTTATTTTACTATAGTACTATAAGTTATAACATCTTAAGTTTTTTTTTTTTTTTTTTTAATAAAAAAATACATTTTAAGTAATACAAGTATACTTATAAATAATATTTAAGTTTCTGCCTTTATAAATGAACTATATCGATTGGTTAAAGAAAAAAGCGACAAGATAGAATAAATACTACTTGAAACAACAACATTACTTGGTGGGTGGGTTAATTGATAAAAAATTATGAACATAGTTTTACTTTATGGGCATCTAATTACATTTTAAGTTCTTTTGAAATAGATCCATTAACTTAATTTATATGACCTATATTTAATTAATATTTGTTTTAAGTCCTTAAAAAAAAAATATTTGTACAGAATTCTGTGTCACCAGTGAATACACAAACGTAGAAACTACAACTTTAAAATTTCTGATTACGAACATGTTGACACTGGTTTTGTTTTATGTTAATTATGCCTATAACTATAATTTAAATTTTATTTGATCCTAAACGCCATAATGAGAGTTACTCATAATTATACATATCTATTGTTATTTAAAATCAGAACATTTTATTTTCATTTTTTGTTTCAAAAAAAAAATTACTCAGCTTCTTTAGTCTCTAACTAATCGAGATGCACTATAATAAGTATTCATATAGTTCAATTATATTTTGAGCTAAAACTTTAAGAAAACAACACGCTGTTCCATCCATGTACATGCATGTATATAGGTTAATGTTAATTTATTTATTAAAATTATACTTGGTATATTTACTTTTTAAGAACATTGAATGTGTCGAAAATAACTTTGTGAATAGTTTTGGAAATGTTCCCAATTCCAGAAAACAAAAAAATAATTCATATTTATTGAATCAAAATATTAACTAATTGTTTACCAACCTCACAAATTAACTTTTAATAAATTAATAAAGACTTAAATGTTTTAAAATAAATAATAACAATATTTAATTATTGAAAGGAACAAAATACTCAGATAAAAATGTTTAGAAAATATTATGTAAATAAAGTCATAATATGTTTCAATTAACTACTTAGGAACAATTAACTTATATTTTTAATATCATCTTTGTGAAATATTTATATAATTATGTTATATTTTCTCCTTCATTAAATTCCTACGTATTTAATAATTTCATGCCATTAAAAAAAAGAAGTTTAAACTTAAATAAGTAGATGAATACTACATTTTTTTGAACAATTGGATTAATTATAAATGTAAATTTTAAAATAATTAAAATTTTTGAATTAATTGACTTATAAATTATTTTGTGTAATATGTTTTAAATCCAAAATATTTTTAGGTGTGCGAATATTAAATACTTAATTTCTGTGGTACACTTATTTAATTATATTACTTTATTTTAAATCTTTAATTTAATTAATTACAGATAATATATATTATTTAGTTTAAAAAATAAAATTTAGTTTACATACCAGCTCGAACATTAACATCCCTAGAATGTATTACACCGACACGATTTTTAGCCATACAAATATAAACTTGGGCATGTACTTCTTGTTTATAATCTTCTGCTCGAAAAGGCGGAAATACCAAATTTCCATCTCCTTTGACCTATATAAATATTATAAAATTATTCAAAACCAAAAATGTGTCATTTTAAAAATTTTATAAAATAAGTAACTTGAGCTGGATATAATAATGGTGATTTAGTCGGTTTATCAGACGACATTTTTAGGATTAGTAACAGATAGTAAGTATAACATAAATAGTTACATAGTATATATTTGTCGTTTTATTTGAATTTTTACTAATTTTTTAAATAAGCAACAACATCTTTTTCTTTCTTAATTCCGTGATAATGATACTTAAATAAAAGTTTTACATAATCAGATCAATTTTATACCAGATAAATGCATATATCGATTTATTGAATATCGTAAGATACAACAATATATTGTACATAAAACATTAAAAAGCATTAACCAGTAATTCTTGTTTAATTCTTACTAAAGTTCAAATAAATATTTTCACTTATTTTTATTTTGGTTTATTAATAGATCTACATAATCTTAATGAATACTACAGATAACTGGCCCTTTGTTTGATACACTAAGAAACACTTTTTTCCTTTTAAAGTCAAACTATAGGTATTAAAACTAACCCAACCAAGCCATTACAATAAATTATTTATGCAAATTTCAGCATGGTTTGCAAATAAAACGACATTAGCCATAAGTCGTGATAAATGTGAAATTATATGTCTTAAACCCGATTTATTTCTATATTTATAATAACAGGAGATTTTTATACATCCACTATCCACGCACAGACATTCGACCAAATACTCCAACACAGCCACCAATTTTATTATAATTATTTTATACATATATTATATAATATACATTATATATATATATATACATATAAATTATTTAATTTATAACTCAATATAATATAATTATTACAATTTAGATTCAATAAATGTATAAATACTATAAATATTAAAAATAAGTTTATTAATTTAAAATTTTTTAACAGGTTTTATATAATTATAATTATCACTATGATTAGAAATAAAAACCATACTGAACAGAAGTATAATATTCACTTCGTTAAGTGTTTAAAATTTAAAAAACATTATTACGTGAAAATTTAGTTGATAATATCAGTAGCATACTGGATTAACATGGAAGAGTTAAAGAATTTATACTGGCATTTGAACTCAAATTTTCATGATTAATAATTATTTGAATACCTATTAAAAAAGTTGAAAAAATATCTATATAATTTAAAAATGTAATTGTTGAAAAGAATATATTTTATCTATAAAAAAATCGTTCCGGAACGAATTTATAGAAATTATTCTGTTATCTTATGGCATTTTATTACTTAAGTATTTGATTTCGTAAAGACAAGACCATTAAAGTCTTAAAAAAATTCCACTTTCATCTATCTCATCCTAATAAGCATAAGTGAGATATGTAGAGATTCCACTGACAATTATATGCTTTAAAATTTTTCAAGTTACTCACTGTACTATACATTATATAAATTATTATAGAATAGGAAATCTTACTTGTCGTAAACCAGGTACATCTCCAACAGCAGTGCCATCAGCACGTATCCAAATAATTTCTGGCCTAGGACTACCTCTAGCAGTACATTCGACTATAGCTCCAGTAGTATTTGAAAAATCCACTCGGTTTTCTGGTTCTTTGATAAACATGGGTCCCATGGTAGTATCATCTTCACAAAAAACTAAATAAAAATGTAAAATTAAACAATTAGTTTTGTATAATAATTAATTTTCAATAGCAGATACAATAATATTAAAGCGTACAATTTTAAACAAATCTTTCAATTTTAGAATTCTTTTAATTTAATTAGTAGCTTTAAGTATTGACAATTTAATCAAAACTTGATATTATACTATAATACGTTATTCATAGATTCATTATTATTATATTTAATACATTTGTTCAAAGTTATTAATATTTTTGTAATTAGATTAAATCGTTATATTTTAAACAATATCAATTATAAGTATAGTAAGCTAAGCTTTAGTCAAAAACATTTTACACGAATGTGAAGATTTATCTTTGTATAAAAATAAAAATATTTCACAGTAAACCCATAAATGATATCCTACGATATCGAGATGAGTGAAGCAAATTGAGTTTCAACATCTAATCACAGCATCCTATCTCTGGTTTAAAATTATATTAATTCAATATTTTATTTACTTATTTATAAACGCTCTACATAGCAATATTGAAGATAATTTTTTTGAGAGTGATAATGTATAATAAAATATCACAAAAGTCAAGAAGTTAAAAACGCTTTATAATACGAGTACTATATAATTGCCAGTACAATTGGATCTTTTAATATAATTGATGTACTATAGATTACCTTTAATATGCCTTTGTTGTGTTCTTAAATTTAATTCATAAGGAGGAAGTTAAAACTTAAACTATAATTTTATAATCTTGTTTTATCAAACTTTAAGTTATAACATTATTACATTTTTTTTAAACACATTAATGTAATATAACATAATAATATATTTAATTTAACTCGACTAAAAGTTATTTATTAATTTATTTTTCTAAGTTACTCTTAAAACTATTTAAGGAATTATTAATAGACACACTGTGCTACATTGTATAATATGCGTAATTTATAGTAGTAAAAATACTTTGCACCGTATCCATGGCATCTACTGGGTGTTAAATGCAAATAACTAAATAATTTTAAAGTTCACGTTTACAAAACACTTAATTTAAAATTTAGCAATTTATAAATAATCAATTATGTCAAATACATAAAATACCTTGAACATTAGAAAGAATAAAATTGAAAATTTTGTTTAAAAAATAATTTTATTACAAGCTATATTATGAACTCATAATAATTATTATTTAAAAAAGTATATATTTAACGAACTAATAAGTATTAACTATACACATTAACGTATAAAGATACAACGATGATAAATAAAAACAAAAAACAAAAATTAAAAATTTTAGCGTCAAACTATATCGTCATTATAAGTCATTATTGAATTAAATTATTATAAACACATGTTCTCTGTATGAGGTAACAAACACATAAAAATAATAACACGTGGTTTAAAAACAAAGAAACTATACATATTTAGATCAAGAAATCGAAATTTGATTTTTAAACTATAGTTACATCGCTTTAAGTCTTCGTACTTCGTATTCTAAATATCTAAGTTGTAGACAAACGAGATAGGAATTTTCTATAAATAAACAGCTGTGGTTTATGGTAGGTATCATACTACCATATATATTATGTTAGAATAGATTTTCAAGAAATAAGAATATTTAAATACATTTCAAGTAAATTTAGTTCCAAAACCTAACCGAATAAGTTTACAATAAATTGAATAGGTAGCTAACTTAATTTATAAAATTTTACACACCAAATTTCATTAACATATTTTTATTATTCAATTTATTCAATTAATTAGTTGTATATTATTTAACTACCCATTTACATTATATAAATATTATTAAATAAATTTAGATAAAATAATAACATAATTTTCATGATTATTTTATATACTTATACATTTTTTTTTAAACATGAAATAGTAAAATACATTTTAAACTTATTGGTTATTAGTCATTACTATACTATTATTTCAAATAAAGTCAATAAAATAACTTAATTAAATATATCGTTTTATTTAATATCTCAAAGTTATATGGGCATTATTCAGTGATTTTCAAGGTTATACTAACGTACATGAAACATGACTAATATAGAGTGGCATAAGTATAAGTGAACGGAAAACCAAATACATGTGGATATTACCTTAAATAATGTATTCTAAATATTCTATAACTATAATATATTGTGTGGTAAAAAATAAATATATTCACTGCGCAAGTGTTTTTAAATTATATTTCATAAAAATATAAACCTAGAATATATATTATGTAACTAAAATATTATAATTATCTGTTCAATAATTTCATTGAATATTGAGGTTTAATTAATACTGTTAAATGGAAATATTTTAGATGTTATGCTTATTATTATAATTTTAAAATGTTGTCAGTGGATAATTAACCAAAGGTTATAGATATTGTTTTATAAAATTAAACTCTCTGATACATGACACTTTTTACCTCAAGATTAAATTTGAAATATAAGTAGATGGATAAATAATGATTTTATTTAATACTGTTTTTAAATTTTCCTAAATATTCATTAATTTGCAGCACATTATTCGTATAAATATACAATATATGACTAAATAATTTAATATAATTTAGGTACTCTGTGTTCAATACACTTGTTAGCTAAACGAGCGATAAATTAAAATGCACAATAAAGACGAATTAAATGACAACGCGCACAGCATTGACCTCAACACTGCACTGTTCCCACGATGACAATTTCCATACACAGGCAATTTACACATACTCATATGCAAATTTGATCATTGCCAAATCATGTTTGTAGAGTTTTTCAAAAAAAAGTTTGCATTTTTTTGGCATTTTAAAACTCGTAAATATTTTGTTTAAAAGTAAAGCCATGTGGATCGAGTCAGGTGGAAAAAACCTAACAGGTACAAATATTATTTTACTGCGATTTTCTACAGCGAGATTTTATAGGTACTTTTATAACAGCTACATGAATGTGTTATGTTCATACATCAAAAAAAGAACACCTGGCTAACGCTCGGTTCTCATCACGTATACTGTAGTAGAACGTGTGTGGGTCACCTAACCATTCGAGTACTGGCAGCTGCAAAGCATACAACATCTGTCATGGTTTAAATCTCAATGTGTTTATAACCACCAATGGAAAAAAACCTATCGAAGAGAATAATATTTTTTTTTTATCACCATCACAAAAATATACCTAATACCTATCTTAAATAAATTTCCTTTAAAATATGTAGTAATTATGAAAACAAATCAAAAAACAAAATATATTTTAAAATAAAATATTTAATAAACTTTTCTATATAAATTACCTAGATACCTACTGTATAAGAGCAAATATTATAAGTAATTAATTACTTAATACATACAGAAAACATTTTAATTATTTAACATAATATATTAAATAATTGATGTCCATACTGCCATGAAGTACCTATTTAAGTTTTTATATTCACTTATTTTTTTATTATTTGAATTATTAGTTTATTATTATTTCAATGAAAATATTATTAAAAAATATTTTAACTAAATAATATATAAGCAATTATTATAATTCATTTGTACCAAAATGAAAAAAAAAGATTTTTGTTTCCACCAAATCTAGTTCCTTCAAATTGTTTTTTAAGAATCGCTTAAAATCATCTACAAAAAGGCGATTAGGTTATAATCTTGTAATTTTTTTCACATAGCTTTATCTACTTATTTAATTTTGTTATATGAATTTATGTTTATCTAGTCTTAATATATTATTATTTTAACTATATTTGACGATAATTTTTAGGAACAATTAATAAGTACCTAAAAGTTTTAGTTTTATACTGTTTTATTATAGTTGTATTAATTGATTTGTTTTAAGTATTTTTTGTTTTTGAATATTAAATTTAGAAATTTTTATTTCTATGTATACATTAATTTGAACACTTGAAATTAAAATAGTTAAAATATATCATGTATACCTAACCTAACCTAACCTATAAGGCTTTAAAAACTATTCGTTAAAATGTACATAGAATTATTTTCAATTATTTGTTGTTCTACATAAAACATCACTAAAATTTGATTATACTAGAGGTAAAAATGTACTATTTTCCAAAATGTTATTTTCAAAATACCATAAAACAATAACCACATAAAATTAAATTTATAACTATAATGGTTCTCAAATGATAATTTTAGAAGACAATCTATAAATAATATATATATATATATGATCAGAAACAAAAACTAAACCTCGAACCTTTATAAATGTTGACAAAAATCATAAAATGGCAGGAACTAATTATTTTCAAGTTTAATAATATCAAAAAAGTATAGTTTATCACATTATAGGTTTATATTATACTAATAAATTTTATAAAAATGATTGTTCATAATTTAATTTAATCTTCAAAAATTTGAAATCTATATCGACTTACAGCAATGGTAAATGTATAAGTAGTTAAAATTTGTGACAAACATACTCATGGAAATTTTAAATACACAATAATCATGTAATAAACTTTATTTCCCTTGAATGTGATACTATGTTATACACACACACACACATATATAATATACTACGTAGAATAAATTTTTACCCTTTGTTTTTAACTTCAAGATTATATTTCTAAACACAAAATTTAGCTCATAAATTTTTGAATTGTGAAATAAATTTCAAACAAGCCCCTTACGAAATTTATTTATACATATTTGACCCACTGTTATGATTTAACTAATGTACGAAGGAACAAACTAACGTTGTTCGTGGCTTGCTATCATAATAAGTGGATATGGAGCTTAATATGATACCTATTTTATCGTACACTCAGAAGACCGATTTTACAACGACGAAGTATCAATTTAAGTCGATTTTTGTTGATATGCAATATCAAGATCTTCGTCAAGATTACATCATAATATGTTTAATTTCTTTTTTAATTCTTAATTTTTAAATATGCTACCAAGTAATACATTTTAATATTTTATACTATTTTACATTTTACTTACTATATTAATTATATATCTTAAGTATCAAGTATTTCATTTTAGCTTATATTTAAATATTATAAAATACGC